GCATGTTAATATATAGGCCGACCCATAATTTGTATAATAAAAGGGTTACTTGACTTCATGCTGAAAGCCTAAGAGTGTTAATTAAGAGAGTAATCACAAATGAGTTAAACTTAATCAACCAAAATGAAGGTATTGAAAAATAACCTTTCTCTCCTCTCTCTAAAGCCCTAGCCTGCATTGTTGAATTTTGGAGGGCTTTCATTGATTTAATTTTTACCGGTGGAAAGCCCAATAATCTTTGTTTCTTGTGCGTTTTTTCTCTTTATTTTCCTTTGTTTTTAGGTTTATTATAACTCTTCCTCTTCTAGGGGGAACATTTCTCAGCTCCCTCAAAAGAAAATGATTTTTCTTCTTCTTTAGGGATTTTCTCCAATGAAAGACGGGGTTATTCTTCTCTCTTTTGAGGGAGGATTTGCTTTTTTGCTTGATGGATTGTTGTAAAGTTATTTTATCGGTAAAGATTTGTGCGGGATTGAAAAAGAGATTAATCCTTCGAGTACAATCAGATGAATCAAACAATAATTTTCTTCACGGCTACAAAAGTAGATCGATAGACCCTCTCGTCGAACAAGGCTGTAAATCACAGCGATATGAAAGACGGTATGAAAAATGTACGATATGAAAAATGTACGATATGAAACTATGATTGTAGTTTTGCTGAAATGATATTTTTATTTGATTTGATTATTGTCATGTATTTATTAGATATAAATCTCTTTATAAATGTCGTATGACTTTTTAAAAAGGATTATATCATCCTCCATCTAAATACAACAAGTGATCAATTTTAAGAAAATAACACTTTATTAGACATACTTCCGTGACACAAACTTGTGTATAGACCCATGTAGCTAAATGCAATGCCAAGTCAAATTACATTACACAAGGTGCAAGTGTGATTTCCCCTTCTTGTAAGTGCGAAAATTGCATGTCAATCGGCCGTCCAAGTGGCAACACTACGTTTAGAAACCGTATAAACATCAATATGCATGCACCTATTTTCTCTTGTTATACAAACAAATACCCATATAATAAGGTTAGGGTTTTACATTATATATAACTTAAAATTAAACCCAATTCAAATTCATTAAAAACATGATAAACCTGCTGGTGTCTAGCACTCCTATGAGCACATCTTCCATTACTCCAAATTCATTATATGACAATAATAATTTGATAAATTTTATGGATGATAGTCTTGCTTCTTCCTCCCTTGAGGGAAACATAGGAATTGATAATTTTATCTCATTGCTTGATTTTTTTCAACATTTATCCCAAGTTCCTCTTGGCTATGCAACGGCAACATCACCACCACCACCACCACCATCGACACCAACACCGCCTCGAGCCGACAATTATCACTTGGAGGTAAGCCTATTATTCATGTGGTACGGTTGCACAAGGTTATCAAACTATGGTTAGTAATATTCTTCTTGTACATGTTTCAAAATAAGGAAAATCATGTGATTAATTATTATTAGATGGTTCAATTTTTTTTTTGATGGCATATAGCTATTATTATTCTTAATTAAAATTAGACGGTTCAATTTAATTTATACATATAGGCAATAGCTATTATTATTCTTAATTGAAATTAGCTTTAACCATCAACAAACTATTTTATGGGTCCGCTTAGTAATTTAGTGTTTGGACTTGATGAACAATCTCATATAAATTTAAAAATCCAATAATTAATCAAAGATAACTTTAGAAAGAGGAGCCCAAGAAATAATTAATTGAAGAAATAATAATTGTAGATCTAGAAGGTACGGTTATGATTTTATTGTTAATATATAGAACTTTTAATTAGATTAATTCAATTAGGCAAATAGAAGGAGGAGAAAAAAGAGTGAGAGATCCCCTCCCAGTTTCAGGTGATTCGGGGATCGATTCTCATCACCCGTCCTTGTGGCTCTCTAAACCAAAAAAAGAAGGAGAAAAAAGGGGAACAGGATGGAAAAGGCTTTGGCTAGCATTTTACTTCTATAATTTAACCAAATTGTTAGTGATTTCATTTGATAAATGAGTAAAGAAAATGGATCCATCCGATTTCCTTTTTATGCATTTTGTACCAAAGAAGAAATCAATTTCTCTCTCACTTTCCCTTCCAACCAATATTATTAAAATTCTCTCATTCAAATTAAATTTCAACAATTGGGAGGGGAGTGAAACTTAACCATCCATAATTGATCCCGAATCCAGATTAGCCCAAAGGGTGAACCGGGTGGAACACCAAAAAAAAAAAAAAAAATAACAATTAACAATTATTATTTCCATAATTTAACAATTGACAAAATACACCATGTTCTTCATATATATGGATATACGTATGTAGCGAGCTAAGTAGCTAGTACAAGTACAGTCATGGTAACTAATTATCAAATACACAAAAAGGAAATTAACCAATTATAGAGTACATTTTTCACCACTTCCCTTCGTAGCTATCTTTTGATACAACAAGATTATGAGGTTAAAACCATACAAATTTCAAGAGTATAATTCATAATTAATCATCTATTAACCATATAATTTTTTTTTTGAAAGTAACCATATAATTATTTAGAATTAATTTAAATTGTAAAATTTCCTTGAAAAATGTATGTAGTTCGATCTATTATACGGAGTAATATTTAACCCTTGCACAACACATGCCAATAAAAATAATATAGAGTACAATTTGTATTAAAAAAAATGTATACATATCCTCATCCACACATTTATTGATGAAATTTTTTCATGTTTTCTCTTTGCCATGCCAATTCCTTTGCTTTAATTTCTAGATACCTCAACGATCAACAATTATTTCATTCAATGGGAAATAAACTTGAAAACAATAAAATCAAGAAGGTTGCATTACTTTGTATTAGTATAACTTTCAATTGTTTCCTCTATAACTTTCAATTGAGAGAATATCGATTACATCCAAACTGATTGACATAGAGATAGAAAGAGATAGAGCGCTAGAGAGAGATCATTACATAATACTACGTAAAACTTTAAATTTTAGAGAGTTATATTGCGCGAAATAACATGTTATTAGCCACCTAACATCCATCAACATGACAAACATTTCTTTGTAACATGTGTAAAATGGCACTAAGAAAGATAATTTTGACTCTTACGGTAACTTATACTTGTTGAATTTGACAATTAATCATTTACCCTTACTCTTTATTGGAATGCAAGTATTGGAAAGTTGTTTGGTGCAAATTTTTGTGTTTTCATCCATTCATACTTTGTGATTGAACTTTGAATTCAGGAACCACAAGTTAAGGGTGTAGTCAAACCACATTCAAAGGGAGAGCAACCTGAGCGTATGCCTCATCGTCAAGATGATAACTATGTGCATAACGATCCATTGCGGGTGAGTATATTGCTCATCTGGTTTAAACATTTGTCCCATTCGTTAAAACCATATAATTTAAGTTTAGACTTTTTCGCATCTTATTTTTACTAAAATTTTAATTATGAAACTTTTTAATATCTTAATAAGCCGAGGTGATTTTTTCAATAGTGGAAAATATTTATTTTCCTAGAAGGAAATCGATGAAGCCACATTTTCCTCTCTCCACCTTACTTCCTTTTTTCTTATTTCTTTTTGTAAAATTTTATTTTATAACTTTTCTTGTAAGGAAACAAACAAAAGAAAACTAATTTGCAATTGTGTGATTTTTTTAATTTTTATTTTATTTTACACTACTTGTATGTCAAACCGAATGGAGCCTAAGAACAAAATTTGATTTATTGAAAATTGACATTAAAATACAATCTAATAAGATTGCACCTAATTATATTTTTCATTCTAATGTCTACACATTACCTATTATAGTAAAAGATTTTTGTTTGACAACATAAAAGTACTCCGTAGCAACTTAGTCTCAAGTCAACTTTGCTTTGGTTACGTAGGAATTATATCGATTATCTAATTTAGTTTATTCACATGCTATATTTTCATTTCAAGTACCCTACAAGAAACAAACAATTCAACTTATCCACTCAAATTTAATTAGACTTGTGTGTATAAATTAAAGTAAATAACTTACAAAATTTACAAAAACCTACTTACTTCATCTTTCAACATGAGACACGTAATACTCACAGTAACACCTAACATTTTATAAAAGCATTTAATTTATTACTTTACATGTGCATAATAGAAGACTGGTAGTTAGACAATTAAGTCCTAATTAGATGAGCTAATTAAATTACTACTTTGCTTTAATTTTTTTTTTTTTGAGGGAAACTTTGCTTTAATTTAGTTTAATTATTTCCAGTACTATACAAAACTAGAACATCTGTCTAGTTCATACAAGTATTTTTTATTATTTTTGTTTAGTATAAATATTAATTAAGCATATAATTGGATTAAGGGACAACAAAAGTTCAGGGATATCAATGTAAATGTAGTCAAAGCAATCAAAGGACATTCAAAAGGAAAACAGCCTCCAGAGTCTAAGCAAGCTGAGGATCAGTATGGTTCGTCAAAGGTAAGAATAATGCGGTTATAAACTTATATTTTCTTATATTTATGGTCAACAAATAAAATATATTAAAATTTTGAAATAAATATGTAGTTCGTATCAATCAAGTAACAACTAATTAAATAATTCGATTTCATATGTATATTGTTTTTCCCATATATTCAACTTTTATATATATATACATATACATATATATATGGATTTGCTAGAATAAGAAATGAGAATATAAGAAAGCCAGTTAAAAACTGTCATACGTCCTTATAAAGTACAAAGTACATAAGAAAGGAATATGTGCTTTTTAAAAAATTAGGAAGTGGGACATGTGTCAACTTTTAAGTGGTTTTCTCATTTTCCCATTCTCATTTTAGCAATTCCCTATATATATATATATATATATATATATATATATATATATATATATATATATATATATATATATATATATATATATATATATATATATATATATATATATATATTTGAAATATTATTCTGAATTTACATATTATTTTTCCCATATTAAATAATTCGATTTCAAATCATTATATATTTATCAGTTTATTTTGATTTTCCTAGATACTTGTAACTTGGTAAATTTGTACATGAACAGAGAAATTCACGAAGACGAAGTAGTGAGCACAAACGAAGGGAACGCATCAATGCAAAGATGAGAGTTATGCAAGCTTTAGTTCCAACTTGTGACAAGGTAAGATGCCCTTATTTCACCTTTAATTTCTTTTTCGTCGTATGAGTGAATTTTGCAACAACATCTTAAAATTAAAACTATAATTATTTAGTACATGCAAAAAGATATAATGCAAAAAAAATTGGCCAAAAGTGAGAAATTAATGTTGCATGCGTATAATTAATGCTTAGACAATTATATTATAATCCTTAAGTCACTTCGTTTCTTTTTGTCCAAGTTGCTATAAGTATAAATGTTCGCTATTTCTCATCTTTTATAATACTATACAAGAGACAACTTATATGTGCACAATAGACAATGTCACCTACGCTCAATATAACACATTATAATTTTAAGGGGTTATTGATGATGAATTATATATATAAAGTTAGAATTAGCCATATATGTTAAGAATATAAATTTGTTTAAAATGATGCGAGAATGAACTCACTTAATGCCCCTTATATACATACTTATCTCTACGCGCCACTATTCACATGATATAGTCTTCAAGTTTATAGTACAATACAAGTAGTCTTCCACAACAATTTTAATCTAGTTTGAATGATTCTATACTCACCTCAACGCTGGGATGATTGAATGGAGTATAGTATGATCATTGTGCTCCCATGACATCATCGGATAAAAGAGCTAGTAATTTGTATATAGGATTAAGGAACTAGTAATTTGTGCAAGAAGTATTGTTGAAAAGTATGGGAATAATTTTAGAAGTTTCAATTCATTGAAAGATTGTTAGTTATAAATTTGGAATATATGGTTTCATCTATCTCAATTGCACACGTAAGTACATACGAGTATTTGCACAAATTATAGTGCTATTATAGACTATACATTTTTGTCTCTAATAGGCACAATAGATAAAATTTTGAATATTATATTACAAATTGTTAAAACATAGAGCATTTTAATAAAGTGAAAATTATAAACTATTGATGTTCACACCAGTAGATTATTATATTAATTAAATAATATTCATACATAACTATTTAACTATTCAATTATCCAATCAGTAATTTGTTTCATTCCCAAAAACAAGTTTATTTGTGCTTACAAATATAAATTAATAATTTATTAATATATATATAATAATTGATTTAAATATTTCTAAAATCAATCAATAATAGATGGCAAGGTAGGAGCATAGGACTTCATACCTTATGATAGTTGTTAACTTTCCTTTATCATGTAGGACAGTAAATCCTAACTCACATATTAATTATTTATTCTAATCTTTGTCTAAAGAATTTCAAATTGATTAGACCGCAGATCAATTATTAATTAAATTTGATCCATGTCTAAGGAATGTCAAATTGATTTGACTGTAAATTATTATAATTAACCAACAGTTTCGTGAAATAGTATAAAGTAAAGTTATCCTACATGGATGGAAATATTTCAAAAAAGGAGTGTTTCTTAGAAAATTGTTTTATTTGAGTATTTCCGTTACTGATGAAAACTAGTTTTGTGGCTTAATATGCAGGGAGATCATGCGTCCATTTTGGACCATACAATTAAGTACATCAAATCCATGAAGCTTCAAATTGATGTAAATAAAATAAAAAAAATGCATCTTTTATGTTCCCTTTTTTTCTTTAACGTTCAAATCCTTTAGCTTAAGAGTTGTTACAAAATCTAAAGTTTATGTTGTTAATTTTGCACCTAGCAACAGATGATGTCAAGGTCATTTGGACAAAGCCAACTCCAAAATTTATATGCACCTCAAATGATGATGCAACCCACAATGGTCCCTAGACTCAGATATGGTACTTGGCCTTCTCACATGTCACCCTCTGGCTATACGTACATGGTTACACCCCCGTGTGATGGTGGCGTTCCTATTCAACCCGTCCCTCAGGTTCAGGCTCAGGCACAGACTCTGGGTACTTTTGCATCAATTTTATGCCCTCTACAATATTTGTCTACCACTATTCCTACACCGGCTACGCCTACTGTGATGTCTTTTGTCCCTCCTCTACCACAACTCACACAATCGAATTCTTCTGATGCTGCATCTCATATTCAGCCACGGAACTCTTGATTAAATCTATCTATCTATCTATATATATCATAGTAAGATGTTTAAGCATAAATAAGTGTAAAATAATCACTAGCTTCTTGTTAGCAAAACATATGTACTAGTAGTACAAAATTTTGTATATTTTAGTTTACTAGCTTCACAGTAATCAAGTTTAAATTAATAGGAACCATATATATATATACATAAAGATTGTTGTGTACTCCGTACTCGTGTAAATTTTAAAATCATATTCTTATCCAATAGAACTCTTTGGCTTTTATAAAATATACTTGTCAAGACACGTCTTTCACTAATTAATACGAGTATTTAATATGCATTTATTTGATACGCAAGAGTGAGAATTTGGGGTTTAAAAGTCGAAATCAGAGGTATGGATTCATAAAATTTTGTTTGGGTATAGTTGGAAAAGGATAGGGAATAAATATTTTGAACATCATTACAAAAAAAAAAAAAAAATATTAAAAAAAAAAATAAAAAAAATAATAGAAATTCATTCGAAAAACCTAGCTGGCAATCCCCTGAGGGTTAGGGGGTGGGGATTTGTCGCTGGTGAGGATCGAACCACTGCACCAAGAGGTCTTCCTACACAACTGTATGGTAAATTGGTCTTGTACAACAAACAAGGGACTTTAATCAGATGCATGGGATCAACACTCTTCGCAATCCTAATTTATTTTATTATTTTACATGAAGGAATCATTATTTTCTTTAGAAAAAAAAATATATACATTAATTGAGATTAACCTAATAACATTTTACGAATTCAAAATTTCATTAACTTATAATATAGTACTAATAAAACATATAGTCAATGCTCATCATACAAGAATAATATCATACATACTACAAATAAGACTAGGAACTAATCACAGTTTAGTAGTCTCCTAATAAAAAAAATTGAATTAATGTCTTGTAATAGATGGAGTATTTCTTCTTTGGTCACCTAAACTTCCGTATATAGTGCATGATTTGTTCACATGTAGCATGCAATTTCATCTTTTACTAGAAGACTCAACCATACAATAATTGGTGCTTTGACAAGTGTTAAGGTAGAATTATCCAATAATCAAGAAATTAATCACAGTTTAGTTGAAAATGACATCACCCTCCTAGAGAAACTAAAACAAACATACCATCTTACCTAACCAATAGAAGACTCATGCACATTCCATTAGCCTTCAAAATCTTTGATTAGCCTTATTTTTGGTTAATTGCTTTCTAACTTTTTTACCCTTAAGTTATTCCATATAGAAGTAACACATAAATCTTTAAAAAAAAAAAAAAAAAAAGTTACACATAAATTTTAAGTACAACTAATTAATAAATTAATGTCCTTGCCTAAAAAAAAAAAAATTGATCTTACATTTAAGCCCCATTCACTTCACCTTATTTTTACTGAACTGAAATTATTTTTGCTGAATTTAACTGAATTTTACTGAACTTAAATTATTTTTACTGTTTCTATTATATTTATTCTTTAAAGTTACTGAATTTTACTGAACTAAAATTATTTTTTACTGAACTTATTTTTACTGAACTGAAATTATTTTTACTTAATATTATTTTTTTAAGGTGAAGTGAATAGGGACTTAGTGGTTGGTTGCATAACATGCATTTATTCATAATTTCCTAAAATAGTAATTCTTCTCATCAACCTTTAATACCATTTTTGTTTGAGGAATGTATCGTAATTTAATTATAGAGAAAATGAGTGAACGTTCACAAGTACATAACTATGCGTTGTGAAATATGTAAAATTCAATAATGTGGGGGCAAGAGGTATAAATTATTAGGTGAGAAAAAAACATAGTTTGTGTTGTATTCATGTGTTGTTTAAGCAAGAAAATTAATTTGCAATTAAAATGTACAAAAAAAAACCAGTTTCTATTTTCAGAAACATACTACTTTGGCTCTTATCGTGCTCCACAAGCCAACGGAAGCCAACGGAATTTGTGTTAAATAATACTATCATGGATTCTACTATGCATGTGAACAACCAACTCATTTAGTGTTCTAGCTATAGAAGTACTTATAAAGATAAGCATAGTATAGAGATAGGTTCCTATATGAGTAATCTTTGCGTACGAGGAGAGTATACAATTAAGTTAAAAGTACATGGACCTAACTCATATACAATCCTTGTGGCCGGAATTACGTACCCTGTATATAACAGCTAATAATATACGAAGTACTACTGCATAATAAAGTGTAGTTGGTAGAAAGTCACCTTATGAGTTTAAAGTTACGGATTTGGTTTTTACTAGCTCCAATTATTGCGCAAAGGAGGTTCCCTTATCCTCCCCTCCCAACCACTTCATCCTCAAAGCCCAATTTATGCAAGCGGACTACTCTATCTATGAAATTAAAGGTCCTAATCTAACAAGCAAGGTCGTTCTTACCAAAAATATATATATATATATATATATATATATACACACACACAAACTATTGCGTCATTCTAGCCTAACCAAATGTTTCGTCAGTCCAATTCAACGAGTTTTTGCTTTATACCAATGATCGCTCCTATCGGCGGCGTTATTGGCGGTGGTATCGTCAACGGCGAGAAACTCGTTGATTGTTGATTATATTTGTCCATGATTTATGTTTCAATTGGCTTGATAATTGTTTAAGATTCTCGGATATTTCGAAAAATGCCCAAAAAAAATCGATTCGGGGCTTTCTTGTGTGATGTATAATTGTTGAAATTGATGTCCTATGAGATTATATATATATATATATGTATATATATATACACGCAATTTAATGTCAGTTAGTGCGTATAAGTTAAGTATCTTGGTATATCGAATTATAAAGGGTGAAGATTTTGACAAATGTAAATGAACGGTATGGTATATTCTTACCACGAACAATATCAATTCCTTAGAATGACCGTGTATACATATGTGAAGATTATTCCTAAACCGCTAAACGGATAAATTACAAAATAAAGCACGTACTCTGTGTGTGTATGTGTTGCAACAAAATAAATCATTGCCATTCAATTGTGTTACTTAATTACATATTACTACCACAAATTAATCGCCAACATATGCCGACAAATTAAATGCCCGTTATATAGGCTCACGAATAACACGCTAAAGCTGAAAATAAGCAATCAAACAATGTATAAGTACGGAACGTGGCAAACTAATCTCACTACTCTTCCCTGAATATGTCTGAATTGCTGCTGACAAAATAACTAGACAAATTTTAATCCTAAAAATCGTCACTAACAATTAACATCCATTAATTAATCAGAGTCCTATGAGAAAATATTTAAGCACTTATTATTTTTTAATAATAAATTTTATCTTACAAAAGACTTATAATGTATTAGATTAATCATATTAGTCTTTATAGTATATAATCATGAATCTATAAGAAATTACACATTAAAATAAAATTCAAACCAACGACAAATTTAAAAGTTACCCTTTAAGGGGTTAAAGTTAACATAAAAGTAGTTAAAGTTATACTCAAACTGACCGTCTTACATTAAAATTAACATACGCTCGCCTTACATAAGACTTATTAAACTTAATTAGTATGATAAAAAATCTTCAATAATATTGCAATTTGCAACCGTTATATCTTACATGAAGCTAGTTTCTAATGCTACAAATACGCACGCATACAACCAAACAAACCATACACATTCAACACACACACTTGAAAACAAATATTTTCCATACGGAAAAAAAATGAAGAAGGTGGTAAACCAAAGTCATCCTAGATTAAGAAAATCATGGGAGAAAAAAACCTATGAACAATTACTTTCTTCCTCAGAAATGGACTCCTTAACAAGTATCTGTGAAGCTCTCTTCCCTCCACTTGATCCTCCTTCTAAACTCGATCATCATCAACCAATCAATAACACTATCAAATCCTTCTATCGATCCTCTGGATCTCAAAAACCCATACCTTCCGAGGTAATATATATAATCAACTACTACGTACTTCTCTTTTCTCTTTAGTACTGATATATATATGTATAGTCACGTTGATAGTGTGACTTATCGGGTTTTTTTTTTCTTGTGGTTTAGGTATCGGGGGTGATGAAAGATAGAGGATTGCCGGAGGCAGTGTTATTGGTAAGGGTAGTATTATCAGTGGCGGATCCAAGATTTCCGAGATAGTGTGTCACCATCAATTATTGATCATTTGTGAAAGTACAATTTTTTTTTTCCATATTTCACCAAATTGATTTCAATCCAAAAATAGGACACAAAAATACATACCACAACCAAATACAGTACTTAAGAATTCAATTTTACAAGTCGAAAATACTACAAATAACATGTTATAAACAAATGGTACAATAAAATTATTATATTGAATTAACTTTATGATTTTTTAGTTAATTGATAAGCTTTATGGGGAAATATTAAAATCGGTTGTACAAATATAAGATATAAAAAGGGAAAAAAATTATTAAAAAATTATACAAAAAAAAGTGAGATAACTTAAGAGACCAGTTATTAAATATAACTTGTCTCTTTAATGAAAAAGGAAAGTAGCGCAAAAAAATTGCGAAATGCAATAGTAGCATCAAAGAGACCTCTTATATAAATAACAGGTCTCTTTAATATTTAAGTAGCAATAGCAGCATTAAAGAGATCGCCTACCTTAATAAGAGGTCTCTTTGATATTAGCAGCATCAAAGAGACCGCCTATCTATAATAAGTGGTCTCTTTGATATTTTATTTTAAAAAAAATACTGTGTCACCGGACCCACTATGACTAAAGGTGGGTCCGCCCCTGAGTATTATGGTTACTATCAACAAGAATAGGGACACTTTTGTTATGTGGGTCTCTTAGTTTTGGTAAAGAATGGCCTTACATAACAAAGTTTTCTCATTTGCCAACTAAAAGAAGAGAAAAAATTCTACAGAATTGGTCATGTCACAGGTTCTTTAGTCCACTTAGATTGGTCTTCTTTTTTCTCAAGTCATTGTGTCTCTACTTCTGCTTTTCCTTGGTAATTAATCTTTATTTCTGTATACTTCTAAGTTTATTAGCTATGCCTTTTATTTAAATGATATACATGTAGTAGATATTTATGTCATATAATATTAAGCTTTGAAATGTTGCTTAAGGATTTAGTTACTAGCTTTGGTCATCTCTTAAGGATTTATGAATATAACATTGTTTAATCTTTATACTTTCGAGACATATACTTTTTAAAAGATCGCATCATATGTATTTAAACGGAAAGAATATATACGTGATTAAAGTAAATGAAAGATAGAGAAACACCATAAGTAGTATGTTCAATACTTTAATCAAATCAATATTTTGAGATAGACAAAAACAAAAAGTGTAAAGGTAAGGGCGGGATAGAAGATTGGAAGAAATATTATTACTATGTTGTCTACGTGTGTTCCAAGAAAATATAATGTTCACATGGGTTGAAATACTAATAAATGTACTTAGGTCGACTTTGAGTATATGTTTGGTTCGAAAGATAATCATATTTCAAAGATGTTAGTTTTTTCATTTTTCTTTCTTTGGTCTGAAACGCAGTTTCACAAATAATAAGCGAGTGCTCGGAATTTACTTATTTGAGGAAGTGCCATATTTTTGTTCCTTCTCTTTGTTTTATCGTGTAGGGCTCTTCTCGTGCATGGTCCAATTCCTCCATAAGATATAATACATGAGCTAGGAAACAATATAAATGGGATTTTGTTTCAAAAAAAAAAAAAATTACTCGTCTGAAAATTGGCCTTTAATTCTCCATCACACATTCCCACAGTATTCTATGATTTTTGGGAAGGGACGAGAAACGTACCTAATCATCCAATTACTATTTATGTTTATTTTATGGTAAGGAATTAAATAAATGAAGTTTGGATATGATATGATATGATAAATTTTTCATAGAAAAAAAAGCCTAAGTTGGTCAACTGTTTTTAGCTGTAAAATTTGATGGTTATAGTCCTTATAGATAGGTCAAGCAATTTCATTGCAATATTTAATGAGCTTTTAGAGCACCGTTAATTATTTATGATATAATCATTTGGCTAAAAGGTCTTTTGATTTGTACATTAATTTTTATTTATTTATTTTTTTTTCTGATTATTTTATATAAGCCAAAATTTGCTTCTATAAGCTGAGCTAAACATAGCCTAACTTATGTGTGGCATAAATTAATTCCGGTTATTCTGTATTTCCGTTCTATTAAGAAAGACTGTCATAAAGAGACATCATTGTACTTCACTCTCTTTTAATCCCCTAGTTTTTTAGGGTGGAAAAGTTTGGCAAGCAATTATCCTATACTTTGTATAATTTTGTAGGGATATACATCATGTATGGTGTGTGCGTCATTACCTACATTCAGTTAATTGTTGCATGTCATTAGAAATAGAACATACTCCTTAGAAGGAAGGATAGAAAACCTAATATTGGTTGGTTCTTTGTAATAGTACTAATTTGTACAAGTAATTAATTTGTATAGTACGTTAATTAGCGCAATAGAACAACATTGATCATCTCTACAGCCCAAATATTTCGCATATGTCTGATGTAAAGATGAAATCGTTTTATACCTAGCTATACATTGCTTGTTGTGTCATAGTCTAGCATTATGCCAAATCAAGATTTGCAATACTGATTATTCATGTTAAACAGGTGGATGATAATTCTCATAACGCTGCATGGGAGGCAATAGACTACGAACCTGATACCACCACCACACATAACAAAGCAAACAACCAAGGGCGGCCTCTAGAAATTGGTATCATCGAGACCCTCTATGAAACTCCATCGACCCTATTCCAATCTCTCACGAATAAAGGGCTTGATGTCAGAGAGGATCCCAAAGATAACCTCTACAAGATCAAGTGTGACGTAGTCATTGTGGGATCCGGTTGTGGGGGAGGAGTGGCAGCTGCAATCCTTGCTGCAGTGGGTCAAAAGGTAGTGGTCCTCGAAAAAGGAAACTACTACACTGCCCCTGACTACTCCTCCCTTGAAGGCCCCACGATGAACGAGCTCATGGAGAAAGGAGGAATGATCCCCACCACTGATGGTGCTGTCATGCTACTTGCAGGGTCTACTGTTGGGGGAGGGACTGCTGTCAATTGGTCTGCTGCCCTAAACACTCCAGACCCTGTCTTAAAGAGTGGGCTGAGGAACAAGGGTTAGGCTTGTTTGGTAGTCCACAGTACAACTTTGCCATGCAGAGTGTAACTCAAAGGCTTGGTGTTACAACTGAGTGTGTGAAGGAAGGATTTCAGAACCAGGTCCTGAGAAAAGGGTGTAAGAATTTAGGCCTAGAGGTCGACCAAGTCCCACGGAATTCTTCTGAGGCTCACTACTGTGGATCCTGCTACTACGGATGCAGGACTGCGGACAAGCAAGGGACTGATGTGACCTGGCTTGTTGATGCTGTCAACTTAGGAGCAGTGATAATCACTGGCTGCAAAGCTGAGAGGCTTCTCTTCACAAAAAATGGCCGCAAGAGAGAGAAAAGATGTGTTGGAGTTTTAGCGAGATCAATTAATGAGAAGATCCCGAGAAAGTTTGAGATTGAAGCCAAAGTGACCATTTCAGCTTGTGGGTCATTACTGACACCTCCGCTACTGATCTCAAGTGGACTGAGGAACAAACAAATTGGAAAGAACCTCCACCTCCACCCATCCCTGATGGTGTGGGGATATTTTTCAGATCAGGGACCCACTTCACAATTTGAGGGAAAGAGCTACGAAGGTGGGCTGATCACATCGGCACATAAAGTGGCACCAGATCAAATGTCCAACTCCATGCCGAGGGCCTTGATAGAGACACCTGCCCTAGGGCCAGCTGCTTGTGCTGCCCTCTTCTGCCCATGGGAGTCAGGCAGGGATATAAAGAGGAGAATGTTACGGTATTCTAGGACCGCCAATTTGTTTGTGATGGTGAGGGACAAAGGGTCTGGAGAAGTCCGATCAGAGCAGAGGATCAGCTATGGGTTAAGTGCAGAGGACAGAGAAAATATGACAGCAGGGCTTTTGACAGCTCGTTTCTGGGCAGTTTACTGCACGGCCCACCAGATGGGAAGTTGCAGAATGGGGAGGAGAGAAAATGAAGGTGCAGTTGATGAGAATGGGGAGAGTTGGGAAGCAGAAGGATTGTTTGTATGTGATGGAAGTGTTCTGCCTAGTGCTGTTGGTGTTAATCCTATGATCACTATACAATCTACTGCTTACTGTATTGCAAAGAAGCTTGCCGAATCTCTGAAGAATGGGGAGTTCAACATCTAGATAGGTTTTCTTTCTGTAATCTGTACTTCTAACTTACTAATAAATTTAAAATTAGGAGGGGTTGTTTCAAATAGAAGTAGGGAGGTATGAGTAAATTCTTGCTTGTTAACTATGGTTTTTCTTTGACGGTTAGATCAATAGATAAACTGTTTTATTTCTCACCTGTACAGCAGTTCCAAAATCTAACTCAGAATCATGAACCAGCATAATTTGACAGCCATATAATCTGATCATAAATACGCGTGGAATATGCATTCTTATATTCCAATGTTATAGGTGACAGGTTCACAAGACAACAGCAGAAAGAAAGAACATAAGATCAACTCTGATGATACCTATCCAGAAATCTATTCAGCCAAAAGCGTCAAAAATTTATTACATCTAAGAAATTGGATGTCTTCGTTACAAAAAAATAAACATACATTTAGGTCAGTATATATTGCTGAAACAAAATCTCCAACTTTATGGAGACTGAATTCAATGGTGCACCTTCTGTACAGAAATGGGCTTAGCAGGTTGCATGAGTATATTCAGATGCATAATGAGCGAGAGGTTTTCACCTGTAACGGATACTTCAGTGCAGCTCTTTTAAGTTCTGTGGAAGACAAACAAAAATTTGCATTTCTTCCGCCACTGAAGAACTAGAGATATCTGTACAAGATTTAGCTGACAGTTTAGCCGTCAGAATCTGTTTCACGGAATGGCAGAGGAACTGCTTTTACAGCTCTGTACTTGCCCACATTGTTTAGGTGCTCATTCTCCACTCTGTTATTTGAGGAAAGATCAGAAAAAAGCTAAATTTCACAAGTGAAAAAAGCTACTCATTAAGGGTTTACCTATAAAAGTTCCAATGTCCTCGACGAATTACTTCTAGAGAAGCCAAAGAAAAGTCTAAAAATTTGGCTTCAATATTTCCAACTTTTATAAACCTCATGACGCTCTCCACCCAAGCAACTCTAAGGACCAAATTGATAACCTACAAGGAAAATTACCATTTGAATTGGTTTCTTTTTTTACATGTCAAATGAATAAGAGGGGAAAGAGCAAGATGTGAGCTTACTATGGATATATAGTAGATACTTTTCTTCTTCAGAACAAGATCATCCCTTAGCCACTGGTTTCTGGAAGTGGGATTGAAAAATCCCCAGTCTTGCACATAATCCCAATATAGCTGGTATATAGTGGCCACTACAGAAGTCACCACGACTAGAATTGTGCTAAGAACTGTAGGTTCTTGTTGCTGGGCATATGTTAGCCTAGCACCAGCTGCGACCATGGCAGAAACATACTTGCCCAAGTTAGCTAACTGTTTTGGGTCAGATTCATCAAACCATCTCCTGGCGCACTTGGAGGTCATGAAAAGGGAAGACACCAAAAATAGAAAAGAAGGTTAACAATTTGTTTTAATTCTTTATGTACTCAAGAGATGCTAGAGCAGGAAATACAGCTCTTTGCATCACACAAAAGGACAAGTATGAAAGCAGTTATGATGTGTTCAACAGAAAATCACTAATAATAAAACTATGTACCTGCATTGCACGCCAGTAATATGGTGCAAAGGAGATGACATATGCAAGCTCTCTGTACATTGTTCCTTTCTTGCATACATCATAGTGGTGTGTCTTGAAAGTGCCAGCAAGTAAATAGCAACCTGTGGTTTCCATGTGCCTAAGCAGCGGAATCTGCAAAAATACACATTGCTTAGTATTTGGGCTCATCAATGATGATAATAAAGTTAAGCAGATAACACCATGGTTCCACTCTCAAGAAGTACCTGGCTAGTCAGCTGATCAGCCATGAAAAAATCTACCATCAAAACCTGTTACATGATTTCCAAGACAGAATGGTCAGCTTAATTATATACCTACTTTGTAAATCATTACATCAAACAATAGCCATATAGAAAGATCTCAAGCAAGCATAGCTTAGTTAAACATATTACCTTATATAGTGGAGAGAACACTATGTTACGTATAACCTTGAGGAAGCTATATCGAGTTGAACGATAAAATGCATTGAAGGGGCAGATAAGGATTACAAGAAAGATCTGAAAATCCAAGGTAAAAGAAAAGTTATATTCTTCATCTGACCATACGTGGTCACTGCACCATCACAATTGCCCATAAAATGATTGTAGTAGGAGAAGACGGAGGAAATAATATTTGTAACGATGACTAACCAGAAGAAGTATGCTAGGAATGGCGTCAACTTGTTGTGCAGAGAAGCCAGTTGATCTTAATATGAGATGAATGACCAGGGCACTGACCACAGCAGTCATCAAGGAAGTACATATAAGGAAGGCATCCCTGTACTTGAGAGCTGTCTTCGGTGAAAACTCGAATATGAATGTATAGTTGATCCTAGTGGCCTTCCACATAAGCAAGTTGCATCCATACATGAACATGTGTAAGCTCAGCAGAGCAAATGTGCTGCACCACAAAGTTAATGAAAGAGTAATTTAGAGGGATATTAATGTACCCCTTAGGCCCTGAGGACTCGAGAAACAAAAAAAAAAATGTACCCCTTAGGGCCTGAGGACTTGAGAAATAAATTTTGGGACCATCAAGGGCCGAGGGTACCAAGTGGGTTGACACCACTAGGGCATTCCATGGTCCTTTGCCACACTGTTGTCAATGGGCATGGGAGGCGTATATATGCACTCTTCGTCCTAAAACGTTTGCTACTTTTGGAGTTTATGATTCATGATTTTGTGAGTTTCCAAAATTTGCAAATATTGTGGGACTGATTAAGTATAGATCTGGTAGAAAAAAGTTTATTTTCTCGTTTTCTTTCATGTTCTTTACAAAGGTTCCCTTAGCTTGTCTTCATAGCTGGGTGCCGGTGGGTCTAAAAGAGCTATATGAAATGAAAGTCTCGCATACGGTTCTTAGAAGTGCTTTCCACAGTTAACTTATGTCAATAAAGTCTAAGATTGGCTGAAAGAATGTCATCTGATTTAGGTCATTATGAACCACATGAGAAGAAGACAGTCTTAGTTGGACAGGCCAGAAGCTAGCTCAGAGAATTAATCTCCTAGCTCGCTTAGGTGACCTTGGGCTGTACTTCACCTATATCACGCATGAGTTCATCTGGACAATCAAGGACAATAAAGCCTATGTGACACATTCTATGAAATATGCCACAGGGTTGATAGTCTCTTCAATGTCGAAAGAAATAAACAGTACAATAAAATAAACAGTACATTTCTAGGTACCATCCCAGCCCCCCAATTAGAGTTTCATTTATAACTATTCAACGCACTATCACAGATAGATAAATAGAGGTTTAAGAAATATATTCAAGACAACCTGATGATTTATGAATAACTAAAATCTTAAGGGAGCTAAGCAAAGGCAAAAAAGAGTTTGAAAAAAGATATAAAAAGATTTGATGATTACCTAAAAATAGGATAAACGGTCTCCATGTAACCAGACTCATCTTTGCTTCCAGGCGAAAACATACCAGAGATATGTGCCAAAATAGCATATACAACAAATAGGGTCACAAAGCAGCCCGTAAACAATCCTGTTCCAAACAAACCAAAAAGAGTTTATGAACCAGCTAAAAATCATGAAATTTTCTTATTGTTTAGGTTCATGGATTCAAATAGATATCTATTCAGTAATCAGTTGTTCAATCTTATTGACAATTTTCTCATCATATATTTGTATTACATTATCATGCTAGTCAAATTATCATTATTATTGGCACATCAGTTTTAGTTCATCTGCCTATGCTAGTGAGAGTTATTCGCAATTGCATTGGTATTCAAATCAAACAAATAATAGTGCATTGGTATTCTAAACTGATAGATAATATGGAGCAAAAAACAGTTAGTTTAGAGCTTAAAGAATAAGGAATGGTCGGGTCTTTGTGAGAGTAATAGATAACTGCAATTTCTTTCATAACTGATAAACACATATGAAGTATACTATTAACTTAATTTAAAATGATAGTGGAAAATGATTAATCATGTGATGATACAACCAACCACTTAAGAAAACCTACGTGTCAAAATTGAATTCAACTAAAGGCTAATTGGTTATATTTAATGCTAATTACACACATAAAAGTATGTAATTTTATCAAGCGGCAAACAAACTTTGTGAATCAATTACTTCATCATTGGCAGCATTGTCAACAACATCAATATTCGGAGTGTATTGTGATATGAAAGAATGACATTTTATCTAAAAAGAAAGAGGTCAAATATAATTACTTATTAATTTTTATCTTGGGCATTAGGTGCAGGATAAACTTACCAACAAAAAAAGTAACCATGTGGGAGTCTTTCTGTTGCTGAGGACGCAAGAACTTCATAGCCTTTTTCCTGTCGTTGTCGGCAAAGTGCTTGATGAATAAGGACTCCACTTCATCCATTAGTCTAACCACCTTTATGACACCACCATAAAAAATAGCAACTCAATTATATAACTTTTTTAACATAAACTCATTTCCGCAATCAACAAGTTGGCAATACAAAATGTGTAACTCTTAAAAGTTACAGCAGCCACTGCCTAACTGGATCTTAAATCCTTCCTATAGCCTTACTGTTCTTGCAATCTTATATTCATAATGTTCAGACGATCCAACTTTACTACAAAAGATTCCAAGTTCAATCCACTTTTCCTCTACATTTTGGTGGAAAATGATGCATTTAAGGGACTCAATTCAAAACATTACATGTTATTAACCAATACGCTAGAATGTTTCAGAAACTACAGAAAGCACAAAGCAGTTCATGATCACAGAGAGAGAAGAAAAAAAAAAAAAAAAAAAAAAAAAAAAGAGGTTTCATTTCCACACCTTGTCAGAATTCATGAAATGGGAGCTCTTCACTGTTTTCAAATAACCGGCAGATGCTTGTCGATTTGCTACCTGTTCAAGCAAATGAGAATTCTCACATCATCACAACTGATAAAAATTTATTTTTTTCAAAAAATCATTTTACCATACAAATTTACAAAAGCATCTTTTGCTAGGAAAAAGGTTTACGAAAGCCACTAGCTTAGATTTTATTCCGAGAACTACTGTGAGAAAAGTCCATTTGGATAACTAAAAACTATTTGGATCCATTGAGCTACCAGTTGCACTTTCTGAAAGTACACTTACCAATATTACCACAATGTCTCTCTACCCAAGTGTATGCATATTGACATTCTAACAGAAAAGGCGAGTATACCTTTTTTGAGCAGAGGGGTATCTATTTTTAGTGTCCTTCCCAAGTAGTCACTGTCCGAATTAAAGAATCCAATAACTACTTTGGTGAAAATGCTGATAAAAGGTTCCACACCCTTTTATGATGGATATTGGCTTGAAGATTTAATTTGTTTCTGTTTTCCACATGATTGGTGCAACTAGTAAATTGTAGCTCAGATATGTGGGTGCAGCTGTTATTGTTACATTCTCCAGCACGGTGATAGGATCACGATTAAAATCCATCATTTTTTACACATGAAAGTGACTAAGCAACCAACCATTCTTAGATTGTTAGAACTTAGATGACATGAATATAATAATTTAAATCAGTTTTATACCTTGTCGAACTTCTTGAGAATCTTCGTGAATGCTACCAAATTCAGCGTACTGTCAAATGGTAGACCACATTTAGCATTTGGATAACATTGCAAATGCACCAGCTATATCGAAATAAGGCAATCAAGCAACAAAATAAAAACAAACTTCAAAAGTTGCGTAAATATATACCAATAAGTTTTTATAAGGCCAAGTCCCCTGTAAAGTTCCACAAAAGCCCCTCGGATCATCTTTTCAGCACACTGAATTTTCTTCCTGTTAATCATCTCCCTAGGGCAGTCCTTGCTAGCACTGTTGGCTAGATCCTCCCATAATGTAGACGTTACAGCGGAAATTGTCCGAGCTGGGGTGGTGGCCGGAATGTCAATCCTCAGGGCCATCTTTGGCTTCCCTTTCTTGGTCTTAGACCGGGTAGCCGCCCCAATAAAATTCAACCCATTCTTTTCAAGAGCTGCTACTACCTCATCTGTCTGTGATGAGGCATCTGTACGCTCATTGGCATCAGACAGGTTTTCTGCAAATTATTGGTTTCCATCCTCTTTTAGTAATCAAATCCAGAACAAAAGTGAAGTATTTCCAACAAATTAATGTTATATTAATCCATTATAGTAGAATCAATATGTCATGTATAAACAACTAAGTAAACAGTCCTTAAATCCAAGTTCAGATACTTCTCTGAGGAATTAAAACAAACACCTGGTGTGCAAGTCGAAAACTCGAAACACCAAATCAAATCCCAGAAATTAAAAATTGCCACTTAATACATCAAATTTAACAAAGATTATTTGAAAATCTTTGATGGGTAAGTGGGAAAAAAGGTGGAAACTTTAGATTATACTGGAAAAGTGATCAAAAGTGGTGAGACAAACAAAAGAAAAAAGATTTGATTAAGACGGTTGATTTTTGTTTTGTGGGTGAAGAGCAATTAAATTAGTTGGTGTCTAATCCCTAAAAAATCTAGGTGAATTTTTGTTAAGAGTTCCACACGATTGCTATTATGTTTGTGTTTTTCTGAACAAATGTCAAATTAGGAGAATGTAGAGATTTCCTAGGGTTCATACTTTGTATGAATGACATGCACTACTTTTTTACTTTCTTTAAAATAACCAAAGTAATTAACCATATATAGAAAAGAAAAGGGAAACAAAAAACAATGTGAAATGTGAAATGTGAAATGTGAATGTGAATAGGCTCAACGGAGTAATTCTTACATACACTCCGATGTATAGATTTAGGTACAATCATATACTCACTTCTAAAACTTTTGTTGAAACTAGAGTAGCCAGCTATGTATGGGGAGTTTTTCCAGTTTGACCTTATGTCACAGTTTAGTTATTGGGATTATTAATAAAGAAAAATACATAATCAAATATTTTTAGGGGTACATATGTCCACACACTATTCTAACAGTTTATAAAAGAGAGACAATTAACATTAATGAGGGCTGATAAGTAAATAAACATTTTAGAGAGTATAATTATCCAAACATTATTCATAAGAGTTATCTAATTTTTTTTTTTTTTTTTTTTTTTTGAAACAAGTTATTTCATACTTTTTACAAGATAGGAAAATGTGTTTAAGAGTTAATTATTATTTTTTTTATAAAAAAAGGTAAGCAAGAAGTTATGACAATCTTCTCTCAATACTATAGACGTCATACTGTAATACTGTATTATTCGTGTAAAAAAAAAAAAAGAAAAAAAAAACTAAAGTATTACAATAGTACAATACTGATATATGGAATTCTAAAACATAGATGTGCAAAGATTAAATTAGTGGCCACAGTTTGCAGGACAAATTTGGTGAAAATAACCCACTTGATTCCTAACCAATAACATAAGTAATAGTATAATAAAGTAGAAGGTCAACATAAAAAGTCAGAGGACATGAAGACTATAAAGAAGACATGAAGACAAGCAACCATATAGTAACATTTTGAGGGGCACTGTACTCAGGTGTCTGCCACTATATATATATATATATATATATATATATATATATATATATATATATATATATATATATATATATATATATATATATATATATATATATTACACTTATTAAATTAATTAAAACATTAATCATAGAAAAAATTGAATATGAATGAACATATATCTAGGCAAATACGAAGTATATTCAATTATCAACAACTTAATTTTTGTAAGAATAAGAAGATGGTGATGCTCAAACTTGTGATCTCAAACTCTTGAAGTCGCAAGATCAAGAGTGATCGAGTTTTTTTATCATCGATTTTTAATTTATTATTCATGTGTAAACAATTGGCTACCAACCCAGCACAATTAATATAATTAATTAATATTAATAGTCGCCACTAATCTTACTCAAATTGCCATTTTTGTTTGTTTGTTATTGAGAGTCGTCGTATCCCACTAACTTCTTTTTCTTAGCATTTGGCAAAAGAAACACTATTACTTACTGTTTTTAAGCATTTAACAACTAACAACCCACTATATATATGTAGCTATATGTAAATATATTGGACACTACTTTATGTAGGGACAATAATTAAACCATCCGTAAAATTGAAGTCGGCTAATTTTGAAGTTGCTTAGTTTCTTTAGATTTTCGAAGTATTATATTAATGGTATGTCTTGGCACGTAATTATTTAAGTGGATCTTGTATATAACAAATGTATTGTGTACGTATAATTGGTAAGTTAAAATCATTTAATTGAGAAAATACAAGTTTTTACCAAACATTTCCCTTGTCAAATTGGCTTGAAAGAATTAGTGCTATAATTGTAAACTTCAAAGCAACAAATTAAAGCATGCTTTACTGAAATTTTAGTACTCATGCATGCATGCATAATGCATGTACGTCTACTCAAGATCATCTTAATATAATCGTAACAAGAGTACCCGATACTCTCATAGCCAAACATATTATAGTTATCATTAATTCATTTTGCTTTGTTCCTTTCCAAAATATTTACCACCCCTATCCAGTTCTATCACTTTTTTGTATGTGTAAAAAGACTTTTAATAGACAGTTCGGCGTATATAATATTTAATTTTAAGTTTTACACCAATCGACTAAGATAGTTGTCATCTACTTCTATCGCATGAATATATATTACGACTATGAAAAACATTTGCATACACTTGGTATGATTAATTACGGAGTATAATTTATGTATAACTTTCCATGTTAAATTAGGAGACGCTAGTGAAAAATTGAATGGATACCATTTGTGTTTTGTTGCAAATTTCAAAAAGCTTTGAGTATTATCTCATAATAAAGTTATTATGTTTGGGAAAGTTAGTGGGTATTGGATTAGTGTCGTAAGCAAAGTTTGTAAATATAACTAGTGTTAGGTCTTGATCAGATCATATATTTAAAGTTTGATAATGCATATTTACATGATATAGGAGTGTTCAATAGGATAATTTATTTAACGTTATTTTATTATAAAAAATATAAGACTCGTGTTTTGTTTAAAAGAAAGATATAAGTGTAATTTATTTTGTAATAAAAGCATGTCAATGTTCACGATAAATGAAAAATTGTTGTACGTAAACTTACGAGAAGTATCTGAGTTTCGCGTTGATGTTGAATTAGAACGAGACATAAATCCTCCATGGAAAGACGATTTTGGTGAAGAGAAATTCTTTCGACGACGTTGATCTAAGATTTGCTTAAGGTCTTGTAATATTTGTAGTTGCTTAAGAAGAGCCTCTCCTCTCTCTAGGAACTCAGTTTCCCTAGCACTGTAAAAACGATTTACCTTTTCTAACTCCTCATCCAACACATCAAAAAACATCTTCACCTATCATCATTAATTATATCTCATGTTAGTTTTTATTATAATCATGGCAAATCTTTAACTATAAGAAGTCAATACAGTATAACGTGACAATTAGTGTCAAACAGGGGGATTATTGCATCTTTTTACCTCGTCTTCTTCGGAGAAGAGTTGAGAAAGTTCCGTTTCATTTTCTTCACGTAATTGATCTTCTTGATCATCCTCCTCTTCTATAGATGTTCTCTTCACTGCCTGTAATATTTTTAGTTACCTTGTTATACGTGCAACTCTTTTAAATTCTAAATCAAACTAATTTTTTTTTTTTTTTTTTTTTTTGTTACCCTTTTCTATCATTAGTACTCTTATTTAGTAGTTTATATCACGATGGTTTCGTGCATGATGGTTACACCATAAAAATGGCCCCATAATCATGCATAACAGACAACATTTAGAGGGACAAATTTTGGTCATTAATTACATCAACTTCTAAAAAAGAAGAGAAAGTGACCTATTTGCTTGCTATCAACAAATTTTAAAGAGAAACCGAAAGGCATGCCAATGCAATTTTAAGCTACCTAGTACGTATGGTACTACAAATGAAGCTACCTAGTACTTATTTACATAATTTTTTTATCTTATACACAAATAAGAGGGTGTCCAATTTTATTTTTCTTTTTATGTCCAATGAACGAGGAGAAAGCATGTTCACAAAGCTTTTTCTATATGACCATGTTTCTCTCTCACATAGGAATTTAGGACTTTTTTGTATAAAAGAACAAGGATTTCTTTTTAATTATTGATTAAAGTTAAAACCTCTATAATTTCATCACATCATTCATATTGAAAGAATATTCTAAATAGAAGTATATATACTCCATATGTTACTAAAATTGATTGAAACTATAATTTTGCTAATTAAACTATTTTAAAATCAATGTTATTCTATGTTGATGTTAGTTATGTTACACACAAACACTACTAATTCACATATAAAATAAAATAAAATAAAATAAATTATATAAGCAAAATATTGCATTTTTATTATTTAAGGTATATAATAAAAATGCATGCAATAGAGAAATTCCAAAATTTATGAAATAATTAAATTCTAAAAGTTTCCTAATATTTATTATATTTAAATAGAAAAGATTTTTTTTTCTATAATATGCCCATTAATATAAAATCTAAATTAATTTAATGTGTCCCCACTTCCCACACAACAAAAAGCTCTTTCACCAATTCAATAAGACATCATTTGTGTATCTTAAATCAAAACTTTAGGTAACAAAAGGGAAACACTCATATATACTCGGTTACTCCTTACCACAAATTAGATACAGATGGCCACCACAAATGACATATGTATTTATTTTTATAGGAAATTCCTTTTTAACACGAAATTACGGGATATTCAAGTATAACAATCTATAGTAAATATAAAATTCATAACCACCCTAGCTATGCTTTAATATTGTGTCCAAAACTAATGAAATAGACACCTCAAAAAACTTTGACCTAAAACCAGATTCTAAAAAAGACCTTTTAAACAATAGCTAACACAAATGATGTATTTATGAAATATTGGCTTAATAGTTAAGATTGAGTGTCTCGCCCTCATTTATAATTTATACCATCCCTGTGACTAATTTGATGCCTTAAAAAGAAAAAATTGATAGTGTTGCATATGGTGAAGGTTGTAACCAATCAAAAAAATTATAAAAAAAATGAAATTCTTTTTGTATGTTTAAATAAAGTTATGAATGAGTATTGTTCAATTTTACAACGTTACTAAAGAGGCAAAAACGGAAAGGAAAAAAAAAAAACTTCATGAAATAGTCCTTTAATAATAAAAACAAGAAAAACATTAGCAAGTATATGGTTTAATCCTAACTTAAAGCCTTTAATCACTTAAAATTCACGTGAATAATCAAGATTATTGTGTTCCTTAACCCTCCCACACTACCCGAAAAAAAAAGGTAGGTAAGGTTAACGTTTTTTCGAAAACTCGAAAATGAGATATATATATATGTATACCTCATTATCACCTGTAGAAGAGCTACCATCATGGAGTTTATTAGAGATGATGGAGACGACGGAACGAACGGGGTCGAAAACCGAGTGACCGAAGTTGGAGCAATGGCCGGAAGAGTAAACTTGAGCTGCTTGTTTTGGTTTGAGGGAGAGTTTAATTTTCTTGATATGTTTCTTTAACTGCCAATAGTTTACAAAATAATCCTTCCATTCTGGTATAAGTTGTGCCTCCAATTCCTTAGAAAACTTAACCATCTTTTTTCTTTTTGGTAAAATTTTTTAGCCCCTTCTCTTTTTCTTATTTTTCTTCTTTGTTGTATGATAACAAAGAAGAAGAGAGGGGAGAAAAGAGGAAGAAGATTGCATTAGAGAATTTTAGTAGATTTATTTATATATATAGAGTGGAGAAAAATTTTAGAAAAGTTTGTTGGTGCATGGTGGGGTTAGTACTCTTGTACTTTTTTTTGGTATATGGAGTTTTTTTATTAATTTAAACAAAACTTAAATTGGAAAGTTTTTATTTAAAGAATTTTAATAAATTATGTAGACTACTTTTAGAGAGAAGGCAAATAACAATAAGGCATTAATTTAAACTAAACTTAAATTGGAAAGTTTTTTAATTAAGTACTGTTAAGGCGATAATATTTTGAGGGAATTTAAGGCGGAAATATTTCGTGTTGTGTAGGCTCAAGTGACGTGTTATTGTGCTTCATGCTCAAGCAAGGTGTGCCTAGAGCAGGCCAAAAAATTGTACCTCTTATGTCATGTCAGGTTTATGCCGAATTGGCTCATAACCGTTATCTCTATAGGAAATGATATAGTAAATCATACTTCGTACTCTGTATCCCACCAAACTATAAGCCTATAAGGTGAACCACATTGTTTTCAGCTCTCTTAACAACATGCCCACATTCAAAATTATTAATAAACAAAGCTTTGGACTTACTAATGTCTTCATAAAACATAAATAGATCAAGGAGTCTGTTTCCTTGTTAATAGCATCCACCACATTGTAGGCATCACATTCCACAATTTTGTTGTTGTATCCAAGTCTTAAACCAATTTCATTCCCATATAGAAGCTGCTGCTGCCTTGCTTCATTCTACAATGTGATTTTTGTGTAGCGTTTTCCAATCAAGTGAACATGTGAGATTAAGACATTAAAACGTAAAAACGGTGTAATAGACTCCATTTTGTTAGACCAAGTATACTAGCCAAACAAATTAAAAAAACTACGTAATTAAAGTTTGTTATAACAGATGAGGGAAAACTCAAGGAAGAGAAGCCCAAAAGCCCACGAACCAGAGCCTACTGCAAGGTTTCATCCTAAAACCAATTGGCAATAGGAGGAGTAGCCCACTTGGGTTATAAACTGAAAGCCCTTTACTTTCTTTTTCAATGTGGGACAAACACTTCTCACACTTGCACCTAATAAAGTTAAAATATAAAATCAATCCGTAGATTTAAGTGAATTGGCTTGACCATGCCACAATGTTTTATCACGCCATTTGACAAATGACCATCTCATAAATTAGTGATATCTATTCCCAAATGCCCTTTTATCCCTCTCCCTATTTGCCTCCTTAGGTCGAATATTAAATAAGACTATTACTAATATTAATTAGTATTAGTGAGAGTTGTTTACTTGTTTGTAGTGTGGCTTAAAGTTGAAATACATGCCTAATTTAATTTTCGTTAGGCTGTTTGCATGCGTGCTTTTTATGTAAAATTCTACTTGCAGGCCTTTTGGCCCATGTAAGGCTCAATCCATCAAACAGAATCCTATCTTAGTTCATACATACTTTTTTTTTTTTTTTTTTTGACATTCTTATTATAAATCATATACATTTTTCCTTTGTTTTATAAAATCTTTAATTTTCTTTTATTGTTAATTAGATTTAGAGAATTAGGGGTGATAATATAACCTTTTTGTTTTTAATTAGGTTAGAACCCGTGCGATACACGGTTTATATAAAACCTATATAAAAATTATGCACCTTGTACAAAAAAATGAGTAATTTTAAAATTTTAAATTTTCATCAAAATTATGATATAGAACCGGTTTAACTTCACCTAATACATATTTCAATGTAAGAAGTTATTTTTAGCATGCTATTTAAATTTTTTTTAATTTTCTAGGATATTGATAGGGTTTAGTTGTAACGTAGAAGATTCTATAATATATAAATTTCAAAAAATGTTATATATAAAAGTTTCACAAAAAAATTTAAAAAAATAAAAAATGACATCATCCTTGCATTTAGGCGGGAAAAATTTTATTGATAGAGCGACATGTAGGCAGTAATGATGTCAGCATATTCTATTTTAGTAATAGTTGATAGATTTATTTTAATAAACAATTTGTCAAAAATTTATAAAGCACCATCAACTATCACATACTTCGTGAGTGAGTGGGGGTTAGCTCAAGTGGTTTAAACTTTCCTCCTGATCTTAATGATCTTGGGATTGATTCTCATCACCTGCCCTTGTGGCTCTCTAAATACCATAATCACATACTTCGTATAAAAATAAAAGTGTTGCAGATAGTAATTTTTTTTTTTTTTTTTTTTTTTCTTGTTACATATTGTTTCAATTTACGATATCAGAAGATTGAAGATATGTACTCCATGTCTCCATATCAATTATTAATAGTTTCATTTTTCCTTATAAATTAATAATCCAAGACTTTGTTTTATGTATATCCTCAAACTATAATTAGATCAAGACATTTTACTTTAATAATTTTAACTTGTGCCGATATTTAAAAACAAGATAAATGTGTTTTAATTAAAAGAAAATTTAGATTAAACCAATATATATATCATCCATTTAGTGCTACTCCCTTTTTAAAAAAAAAAAAAAAAAAAACAACTAATTTGTGTTAATTTTAATTGCATCAATCATTGTTAACTTCATCTATCTTACAATTATTAATCGATTCATAATTGGTTTTCTAAGGAGAAAAATTAGAGGCTGCCTTCATTCGTTACATTTGTGAGGTTATTTGTCCCACCCTCTATGATACTATATTAATATGAATGCGTATCATGCCAATTTATTTTTTAAAAGGTAAAAAATGGAAAGCTAACTCCACTTTGATATCATGCAATTTTCTTGATAATTTAAAGTAAAATATTTTAGGATAAAGGTAAAGCCTAACCTTTATTTTTTTTAATTTATTATTTTGAGAAAAAACTTAATTAATTAATTGAGAGGTCATTAGGTTAGTCGATGGATCTTTACATAAAATAAATAAGATTTTACGGATAAAATCTCCTACTAACTAGGTATCATTTTCGGCCCAAGGTTTCCTTAACGTAAACAAAAAGCATTTAGCTATATGAATAATATGATTATATTACTTGAATATATAGTTTCATTATTATTGGATACCATATTCATAATCAAAGAGCGCGTAATAAAATTAATATTAACTCTATATAATGTCTTGTACTAACTTCAAAATGATCTTACGTAAACAATAATTTAGAAAATTAACTTCATTCCAAATAAGAAACGTAAATAAGTTATGAAACAATCATATTATTCATGCGTGCATGTAAGATCATCTTGTTATGAAAAAATCATATAAAATCACAGCTTACTATAATAGGGATTGAGTCTATTTGAGTCCATAAACAAACATTATTGTATGTTCACTAATTGATATCACCATAATATATATATATATATATATAACATGGACTTCTCATACATAGTGACATACATTTAAACCCGTCATCAGGGATTTGTTAAACGTCGCCCGCAAATCTCCACATAAAGCCCACAAATATTTTTACTTTGACTCTTTTGCCCTTTTTCTAATTTTTACCGAAACCGTAATTCACTCTCACGAAGAATGTGGAGCTGGAGTGGATCGCCGAGGGACACCAAAGAGCCGTCATCGTCGCCGGAAAGCGAGATAATCCGGGGGAAAAATTACGAAAAGTAGGGGTGGCGTCTATCAGGACGCCGCCACCATGGCTGTGGCGTCCTGGCCAGACGCCGCCACCATGGCTGTGGCGTCCTGGCCAGACGCCGCCACCATGGCTGTGGCGTCCTGGCCAGACGCCGTCACCATGGCTGTGGCGTCCTGGCCAGACGCCACCCCTACTTTTTGTAATTTTTTTTTTTTTTTTTGTAATTTGTTATTTTTTTATTTCTTTTTTTTCTTTTTTTTTTGTAATTTTATTTAAACTTTTTGTAATTTTTTTTAAATTTTATTTAAAGTTTTTGTTTTTTATTTATTAAACATTAACACAAAAAATTAAACATTAACACAAAAAATTCTGATTTAAAAAAAAATATATACATTAGAAATAAAAACATTAACACATAAAACAAAATTATTAAACATTAACAAAAGAATTCTGATTTTCCAAAAAAAAAATATTAGACAAAAAAAAAAAAAAAAAAAAGTGGTAGGGCGCCTGGCCAGGACGCCCAGCCCCTGGTGGTGGCGTCTGCTCCGGCCGCCGGGACCAGGGGGCTGGCGTCTGACCTGGACGCCTAGCCACGGCGGTGGCGCCTCTGGAAAACGCCACAACCGTGGCTAGGCGTCCAGGTCAGACGCCAGCCCCCTGGTTCCGGCGGCCGGAGCAGACGCCACCACCAGGGGCTGGGCGTCCTGGCCAGGCGCCCCACCTCTTCTGGTTTTTTTTTTAAAAAAAAAATTTAAAAAAAAACCCTGCCACCGTGAGCCGTCCTTCCCTCCGCCGCTGTGGCCGCCAAGTCCTTGCCTTGCCGCCTCAACACTGCCGTATTTTCGGGTGATTAGAGTGTGGGTATGGGTTAGATTTTTTTATTTTAGGTTTAGGGCAATAAGGTAAATTCAATATAGATTTGTGGGCTTTATATGGAGATTTGCGGGCGATGTTTAGCAATCCACTATCATTATCGTATACCAATTACCAAACAAGTCGTAAAGGCCAGCACAACATTATTTCCCATAGACAGATACATGTATTTAGTATCATAATAAACTATTGATTGAATTTATAAAACGTCACATAGTATATTAGATACTATAACTATATGCTATTCGAAAATAAAATGATATACTATAATTATATATGCATGACAGTGGATTACTTAATTATATGAAAGTTGAACCTTATAATCATTTGTCTAATCTACTAACGAAAACAGTACATTAGCCAAATTGTTAATAAGTTTTGTAATGATTAGATAAGGACTTGATAGATAGAGCATGACACAATCATAGTATTGTGTAACATTATGCAAATTTATGGTTTAGCATATAACTAAGGAATTTGGTATCTTTAGAAAGAATATCCCTAGGAAAGAATATTATTCTTATGAAACAATATAAAGTGGAGATAAGACAGCAATTTCATAGATTAAGTCTAAGCTTTGTGAGATGTATAGTTCAATTGATCAACTATTCAATCATTCTTATGTCCCTTCTTTATCAAGTTGCACCATTGCACTAGCTCGATCTCCTTTATGGGTGTTATGAATAATAGAAGGGTAGTAGGTTTGGTGTTTTGATTATTCGGAACTTAGACAACAAATTACGTGCCGTGTTTAAACATTAAGATGAGAAAACAATGACGAAGATATACGTACTTAGTCTAGTGATAGTAGAAATGAAGTAATTCCTCTATATTACAAGGTGGTATATTCTTCACTTTCTCTTTCTCCAATTTGGGATTACTCACACGTGGACAATATTGAAGTTTCAACAAATAATTATACTTTGATCCTGAGCTAATAAAAATATGGATACTTAAATTAATAAGGTGAAAAGCTAAATACTAGTAAATTATATAGGACACAATAATAATAATATGGAAAATAAATGAGTATACTTCGTAAAAGTCTTGCTTCGTATTACCAAGGTACTCACCAACATGATCAACTCGCCACATGTAATGGCCTTTTACCAAAATTATCAACATTATCAATTGAGTCTATTTTGGTCACTCATATAATAATAGAAAGAATTTTATCCACTAAATTCATACGAATATTTTCACAATATGCTTTATGATCGAGTTATGACTAATACGCTTACTCGATTTTAAAGCCTTTTTTTTTTTTTTTTGAAAGGACTCGATTTTAAAGCTCTTTAGAACAATAATTGCTCTAATCAACAAATCGAAAATATATATAATTGCAAGAGTTAAAAATTTAATTACTAGAAAATTGTTTGGCGAAAATGTATTAGAGCCTTAATTAGAGATATATATTTTTTATTTTCTACTGTTAATGTATTTAATCCCCCACGTGATACTAATACCATGTAATTGTCCCAACCACCCCCCCCCCAAAAAAAAAAAAAAAAAAAAAAAAAAAAAACATGTAATTGTTTTAGAAAAGTGCTTAGCTTAATTATATAAAATTCATAGAATAAAGTATAAATGGCATGATACATTGTATGTACACAATAATTTGGTATTGATTTGATAAAGGTAAGAAATAAAAGAAAGTTGTATTAAAGCCTTAAAGGACAATGTAGTAATCAAATACTTAATGAGGGAAAAATTTAAGTTTTTTGTCAAGATGTATGAACAAGGCATTCTCGTGTGAGCTGTGCCATCTAAGTCAAGACATTATGATTTCGAAATAATTATATAATTAATTAATTCACTCCTAAAATATAGTAAAAATTGACTTAGTTTTACAATAAGCTACTGTAAAACTGTCACATAAGATATTTGACATTTCTTAATAATCATTGATCCCACTATATATTTATCTTATTAAGACACTAATGGCTTAGATATTCATTGTCCTTATGCAAATTGGAGAACTCGCACCAATAAATTTTTTTTTTAAAAAAAAAAATCCTTTTTTTCATTGGAGTGAAATTGATTATAACCTCCCAAAGTACTCATTTTGACTTGTTTCCAAAAAGCTAAATTTATGCAATAAAAAGGGAGGGAAAAACCCGTCAAACAAAAAAAGAAAAAAGAAAAAGGAGATAGATAAGGTCTTTAATCAAAAGCATTCTTCAAACTCATCATTTGTTAAAAGAAATTTATTTTTGACACCAATTATAGTCCTTGACTATTGTATGCTTGTTAATTTTGGCATACATATACTAGTTAAAATTATTCTGTAATTCTTTGTGAATAATACTTATTAATATAAATAAATAAATAAATAATAAAAAAAAAAAAAGTCACAAGATTCATGGCACACTAGTATCTAAGGAAACTCCATCCAGGAGTGGACAAGATGATTGTTTGATGTAAACCATATAACCTTATACATATTACACGTTAACATATACGGATTTATGGCGCATGTTATGTGCATAGTGCACGATTAGGGTGTGTGCAGTGTACGTGCACATAGCGTACCTATAATTAGAATATAGAGGTAGGTATGCCTAAGGAGGTTACGGTGGATATATGGACAAACTATGTACTTAGTATATTATGAAAATTAATTAAAGGTAAAATCTAATTATCAAAGTTTTCTAGTTTGGCAATGTAAAACAATATTACTATTATGGCACACGGTTAGAAACTTAGAACATTAATGTAGTGTATGTATGCTCATAATAATCTCTTCATCTTATCAATTTATTGTGCACTTTTGCCAATATATAATTTTGACCATTAATATCTTTATTTATTCATTAAAAAAATTATACAAATAATACGATTAATTAAGGTGTTTTAATGCATAGTAAGAAGTACGAGTAATATGTTGTAGGTATTTAAAATAGTCATGGTAATTTTTCACGTGTAATGCATAGTAAGAAGTACGAGTAATACGTTGTAGGTATTTAAAATAGTCATGGTAATTTTTCACGTGTAAAGATTCTTCTAAGAGCGAGTTAGCTTACAGAATATACACTAGCTTTGCCTTTGCCAACCAAAGAATTTTCAGAATCTTTGATAAAAGTATTTGAGAGTTGCTCACCACAATACACAGTAGTAGTACGTGCAAATGAGTTGTAAATTAAATCAATTTTTTATACTAATTTATTAGTTTTGAGGAACATTAATTTTTCTAGTAATATATAATTACTTATTAACTTGCTTGATCTGTAAATTGTACTGTACCACTATGCAAATGGGTTATAAAATAATTACTTATTTATATTATAAATGAAAAGGGATGATCTAAGAGGTGATACAACAATTAAACTACGTATCTTTCTTTCTAACAAAACAATTAAACTATAAACCCTGAGTTGTAATATATAGTATTTTCCATGCCTTAATTAACTTTAATAATTAGGTCAAAACCTTCCATGCAAGAATCTTTTATGAAGAGTAGCTATTTTGGTTTATTATAATCTTCAATTATGCCAATATTAGGACTATAATTATTATCATTTAAGGTTGTAGTATTATTTAGAGTATAGAAATACATACGTAAGTGATACGTAGTGATGACATAGAAAAGATTTGATCCCATTTGTTATATACTATTTTCAAGCTTTAGAGTGAATGGAGCATATCAAACTAAACTAAATTGAATAAATTGAAGTGCATTGAATTGAACTGAACTTAAAAATCAACTTCATAAAGTTATAAGTTTATATAATAGAATTAGGGTTTTACTTAATTGAGACTTATGGTCAAATTAAGTCTACATCATTCACCCTTTAAAGCTCTCTCTACACACCAAAAACCCCTATACAAATTTTGATCAATTTACAATAGGATTTTTTTTTAATAATATATTATCTTTTACAAAGGGGAGACCATCTACTAATATTAATTACTATAAAAAAGGAGATAATAAATATAACTGAGTTTGATAATTCTATTTCATTTCTGATCTAATGAAGCAAGTGCAATTAAAAAGGTAGATAGGCATGTGGTGGGGAATAAATTGCTTGGTTTAAGCAAGTGTTGGAGAGCAAATATTAGCCAACACCTTTTGTGATTAGTGAGCATGACGTAGGAAACATTAAATACATTATTCTCCACTAATAAAATTTAAACTAGCTAGTGATTTATTAGTGTATAGTTTCATAATTTGCGTAACGTGTATGTAGTATAAGGTTTCCATTATATGAGATTTTGAGCAGGGGACCAAGAACTACTTTCTTAAGAACCATTTGTTACCAATCGTTGGTTCTCTATTATTGTATGGATAGTTTAGCTTTATGACGCATTCTTGACTAATAATAGTATGTATGTGCTACACCAACTAATACAGTAGTACATTACTACATTAGAAATAGATGACTCGAAAATATACTCATTTAAGTTGCTCCTCAAGGGTCGAGGAGTGTAAGAACCATCTCGCCAAGTTATTTTATGTTCCAGGAAGCATTAAGCGTGATTCTTTTGTTGGATTGTTCACGATACATATGCTAGATGAAGTTGGGGTGTCATATAAATGCACTAGTTCGGACGTTCTCATGAGAAAACGTTACATTGCTCCAACTTTCGCTTACAGTGTCACGATTCGGATCTCATTGAGGATGTGGTGGCAATTGCTATCCGGAGATGAAGAAGACAAGCAATGACATTCATAGCGAATTAGCAAGCTTATACAAGTATATTATACGGAGTACAATTTATTTTTATGTTCTCATTTAAGGTATGCACTTTTGTCAACCAAACAATATTCTATATTTCTAACTTTGATTTTTTCAACTTACTAAATTTTGTCAACCAAACGACTCTAAAAAGTTATAAAAATACAAATGTGGTCTATTATTTAAGGGGTCGTATAAAAACCGGACAAAAGTTGATACAGTACAAGTCATACAACTACATGAAATTAATGGCAAATTAAATTGTTGAAGCAGCCCCATGAAGCTGGTAGATAATACAAATACTAGTAATTAAAGACTAAATCTGTAAGCAATTCAATGGGCCCTTTTTGACTTAAGTGGATTTAACAACAAAAAATTTTGATAGGGATCATCTGACCCTTCTTGAAACAAAGAGCTAACAAAATGTCAGCTTTCAGTACAAAATTACACAACACTTTTACATGAATCAAAATGTATACAAATATAAACATTCAATCCAGCCAATTATTTTGTTATGCTTTTTTCCTTCTCGGACGCATGTTAGCTGACCTCAAATCATTTTGAGACTAAGGCTTTGTTGTTGATGTATACATTTAATCCAGCCCCTGAAAATTATTAAAAAAAAAAAAAAAAAAAAAAAAAAAAAAAAAAATCCTCCGTTGTCGTCTGACTAATTCTTTTACTATCTATGTCATCTTTCCATTGAAAACAACAGTTATTTTCTATCAGAAAATCCAATTCTGCAACTGGGGTGTTCCAACAACTTTCCAGTTAAAACCAGGGAGAAGAACAGAAGCAAATGGGTAATAATGTAATTCTTCATATGACTGGAATGCCGTATCTTTATCTTGATCCACGATCCGTAGCATAATCCAAAACACAAGGATAGTTTAAGAAAGATAATTAGACACTAAGTGGTCCATAATCCATTTAATTATATTGCAATATGACTCACCAAAAAGGCGATAGCTGCAATGCGAGACCATGAAGACCCGACAGGATTGGCTGCTCAAATTTTCACCAGGTAGTGGGTCTGATACAGTTGCATATACTGCATAGTTCAGGAAACAAACACATTTTCTGTTAAGAAAGTGTTCCGATCTATGTCATCAAGAAATGATATATAGAAACAGTTGCAACTAGTGCCTATATTAGGAAAAACTCACATTTCCTTGCAAGAAAGTGAGTATATTTTACCCTCAAGGATCTCAGGTTACGAATCTAATTTAAGTCATTAAGAATTAAGCGTAGACATATTCATTGCGCAGACACATCAAAAATTTCCTGTAAGCATTTTGCATGCTTCACCAAGGTCAAGAGTAATCAAATAGAAAATGCAGAAAATAAAAGAGAGATTACAAATAAATTAACTGATGTTGACGGGCCCAATAATTTAGAATATGGACATTGAGGTGGATAAAATGCATTATCAAATGAGTACATTAAGGTATTAGTATTATATTCAGAATTTGTATATCTATTCAGCAAATAAATCTGGTGATAGTTCCATCTAAGTACTCAACTAATTTCATTTTACATAATTATTTGGATAAACGAAATCCAATGTAACATTAATTATTTAATTATCTGATTCTAAATAATAAAATACTTGTAATCAGTTATTAGGCAGGCTTCCACAAGACCGCCAATAAAGCATGACCAAGAGTTTTAGAATCAACAGATAAAGCACAAGTACCAAACAAGCACACCGTTAGCCATCAGTGCGATACACGACATTTCGTGCAAAATTTTACAGAATTCATCTAGAATAGAACAGGTAGGAGATGTTCATGTTCCTAAAACGTAGAGAGAGTTCATTGGCAAATCGTCTTAAGTAACAATGCCAATAGTTGTAGCACACATCAGCACAGTATTAGCGGTAATAATGGCTTCAACCTTGAAAGGGTCAGGTCATATTCTATAAAATGAAATGCCATTAGTGTAAAGTTAAACTCTTTTTTCATATCATGACCCTACCATTACCTTGTCCACTACACTCAACACTCTCACAGTATGCATCAATAATCCAATAATAACATTAATAAGAGACCAACTACAGAAAAATTTAAGATTCTACCAAGTTCACACATGAATTCCAAGGAAAAGCACTAATTAGGCACACTAAACAACTTTATTCGGATAAAAGATACATATCTGAGCTACCAAGAATGGAAAAGAAGTAAATGAATGGATACTTACCATAAAAGGTTAAAGAGAATTCATAGCAAGGAACCACGAAACTGAAGCATGAAAAGGAGTATTATACCCTGAGATCCAAAAATGTCCCTTTTACCTGATGTATCAGGCTATCAGCGTATCGCCTGCAGAAACAGATATCCAAAATTTCTGTCAGTCACAACATTAAAATTACAAATATCTATTCATAAGGTCCACACAAACAACACAACACAACTATCAAGCAAAAGACATTTAACAGTTTACACAGCTAAAACCAATTAAGTTGACCATTAGAATCAAAACAAAGATAACAATACTGAATCACAGATGCAATCTGTCCAGCTAATGGAGTAAGTGTAATTATTATCCTTATGCAAATATTTCTGGCCACATCAATTTGAACAGCTCAATATTTTCAGAGCCTAACATTAGTCTCAAATTATCGACTTACAGGTCTTAGACAGAGCAACTGCGGTTTATACACTCACTCTTAGATACTTTTGTGCTTGAGGATGTATAAGAAAATCTTCACCTTCTGGAATAATTTGAAAGCTTTTTGCCACTAGTTCCTCTGTCATAATTCAAGTAGCACAAAAAACACAAAGAAAGAGGCATGTACTACACCCCACAAGCAATCATTGACCCATCTCAGACACACATGTTTGAATTTCTTACTTCCGTATATAGTCAATTTCAATTCTGTGACATGCCCCATACTTCTGGCTGTATAATCCTTCCGAATCTCGACAAACAAAAATTCTAGCAAACTAGAACTAATAAGATACTTTGGCCAAAAAAAGCCAGAAATCTCCCATTCAAGCTGATTTGGTACATATAGCTGGTTGGCCTGCGGGTTCAATAATTGTTTAAACAAGATATAAAATCCTCTTTGGCTTTAGTTAAGCAATATTAGAGATTACTTTTTGAGCAAATAGTGGAAATAAGCAAACAAATTTTTTCCGTCATATGACAAAGATTACCAAGGCTTGGGCCAATATGTCAAACTATCTTTATTTGACCTCCCACCGTGACAATGTCAATTTCACCTTAGTATGAAAAAAGATACCTGAATAAAGAATATTTCTAAATCAACCAATAGCTTTAATTATGATATAAATTGTTATCAAGATAAGTCAACTATTACTTTAATTCAATGAATAATAAACAGTCAGTCACTGAGCATAGTTTCATTTGCAACAAGACAAAAGTTTGAAGGAATAGTTTGTAAAGTATTCCTAAACTCAGGAACAAACAATTCAGTTTATTGTTATAGCACCTTGAAAGATCTCTTGCCACCCTTTATAGGTAACTAAGCTGCAGCCAAGTGTTGGCATATTCTTCTATTCTTTGATGTAGGTTTCAAATTTCTGCCCTATCCTTCAAATTTCCAAGTACACTGGATAGTCCACTAGGACTTCAAGGGTACAGTGAATTATGTTACTTTCAGCGCACCCATGAATTCCAAGGACCATATTAATTTACACAAATGATGAAAGGAGATAAGGACTCGAAGTTCTATCATTAGCATCTCCATCACAAATGAAGCAACCTAACTGCTACTTGAGAAACATTTGGCCTATAGGAAAAAACAATCATTTATCCAGCAATTATGAGACCTTGAAGCAACCATTCACCAGTTTGTTGTTTTCCACGAGTTTTGTTTGGAAGGCAAGTGCTTGCTTTCTGGCTATGGTATGGGGGAAAGGAAGTGATATCTACAGATTGATTTGATATTAGATGAGCCAAACTACTTGGGCAGTAGGTCCAATGTGAGTAGGGTCGCTTAGCCATGCTTCATAATCGGAAAAATGGGCACTGTGGAAATGCACTTCTCTTCTACTTAACCTTTTTCTGTATTTAAAATTCCATTTTTGCTAGGTAATTTAACAATAGATTGGTTGAAGTTGGCAAAGCCTAACTAAAAAAACATAGAAAATTAAATGGTTGGGAGCTGAGAGAATGTTAAGTGGTTCAAGATGTACCACCTACACAGAGAGCCATATTACCTCCAAAAAAAAAATTTTGCAAGACAAAAAGTGATGAGGGAAATCATTGCCGCTATAGGCACCAACAGAGAGCTAGTAGATGTAGTTTTAAAATACGAATGGGAAAACTGTTATCATGCAACTAAATTAAGATAACATTGACAAAGACACTACCAGCACAGCAACCACGTAACAGGGAAACAAAGAAAATAGTGGCAACGAAGTTGGTTACTGTAGATCCTTTTCTGTGTGGGTCGATCAAGACGCTGGCCGACTGGCCAATCAAGATTAAACCAAAATACTGACCGCAGTAACATGTACTGTCTACAATAAAACTAAGAAGTTGAATACTTAGGTAGTTCCATGATTTAGGCCCCCTTAATTAAGAAAAGGATGCAGTTGGCTATTTTAGACATTTATAAAGAACTTAATCTTCCCAAACACCATAAATAATGTTACATCAGACACAATAAACCAATTCAGCATAACAGTTACGGCACGATGGCTTAGTCTAAGAATTTGTCACTGAAAGTAATCATTTGATAGGTCAATGAAAAGCACATATAAGAGCTAGTAGTAAGAGCATATTTCTATATGTGACTACACTTCGCATCTATACACAAAATTTAGGTCCACAATTCTAGCAGCTCATGAACAAACTCAAACTGTATACATCAAGATTGTCAGAGTTAAATTTCTACTTTAGACTGGTATAATACTCGGAAGGATTGGAATTATCCAGAAAATATCTCTATTAGACAATTATGAAAAAAGATATACCAAGCATTTTTTAAAAACAAAATGTTCTAAAAGCATCCAAAGGGGGAAAATTGCAGAGATATTATGGAATGTTGTGATTAAATGGCTAAAACAAATACTTATCATGTTTGATGAACCAGCATATAAAAGCAAACCAAGAAAGATAAGAAGCTTTGAGACCTCTAAAGATCCTATTTAGCATTATATGCAATCCTAAACAACCCTACTCGGATCCTGAATTATCCGACATAGAAAAAAGAGTGTTAACACTGATATCCTCCACATTCTGGATCATACATTCAATCTGAAGAGTAATTCTAATGACTAAGAGGTCTATGACATAAATGACAAACGAGTCATATATGTATTAGGCTATTAGCATATCACTCTTTGAATATTAGCTACTCAAAGCAGGTGTGACGTCAAACAAATTTTATCCTTTAAAAACAAATTTGGAATCACTTTTCGTGCATTGATTTCTCATCCTGAATCAAGAAATGAGAAAAAGATGTCACTCTATGATCCCCTTTCCTCTTCTAGACCTCTATAGACGGTGATATTCTTTCATCCTAGAAGCTAGACATGAAATAATTTTATGTGCTCTACCATTCTTTCATAATACATGCGGAGCACGATGCAAAAATCTCAGTTGACAGCTTTCAATGATACTAGACATAGCTCCTGATAAGTAATGACTTCAACCAGTAATTGCTAAGGTTAAGTACTTAAATCACCCACCAAGTTTACTTGACAGAATTCCAATTATTTCTTTTTATTCCTAATTAGGCCATATTCAAATAATAAATTCACTACCATGAATATTTTAGAGCTATTTCTTTGAACTTCTGAAGTGTAACATATTAAGCTAAGTGAGGATATCCTATGCTCAGCTGCCTGGTATATAGGTGTCACATGCAGAAATGAAAAAGAGTGAATTTGATGATTAAAGTACAGCAGCCAGTGAAAGGAAATCAGCATAGGCCCAAGGCAAATGAGACTTTTAGGTCCAATACCTACTATTTAGAATTTTTCAGCTAAATTTGGGCATCCAAGTAGCCATAACTTGTCAACTTGCTGGGCCTATAGTCTGAAGGTCCACCAGCACCCAAAAAGTATCATGGATTAGGCCAAACTTAAACAATTTATGGAAAGTAACAAGTCCACTACAATAGTCTTAAATATAAACCAATCATGGACCAATAAACTACAAGTCTTCCCACAAATCACAATTGGGGTTCAGCAATAATCTTATAAGTTCACCATGGATGCATAAAATGCTTCGCTTCTTGCCACTGACCACAAGTCCACAAAAATGATCCAACTTCTTTCAAAAAATATTGATTGCCAATGAAAGGTGTTAAACAGAAAAACTCATAAATAAATCCGATAAATCCACTAAATTGCTAAGAAAGAATAGCTCTCGAGCTACTTTCCAGCACATAGATCAAGCCTTCAGACAAGCCAGGTTCATAAACTAAAACATCCTTGCAAACTGTTCTACTAGGTAAAATAACCAATCTTCAATGTTAATCAAGTACCGTATATCTGGTCAGCTTTGCTGCCTAAAGTTAATAGATTGTACCCTCAAAATCCTACCTTAATTCATAACTCAAGAATATTGAGTACTTAATAAACCAACATCTAAAATACATATGTTTCTATATGAAAAACTAGAAGTGCTGCCTTTCAGAGAAAAACTCAATCAAAACATCAGCCTGTAACATCTTAAATATTTCTAAACACCTCCAAAACCAGCTTGTACTTCAACCACCTACTGTATGCATAAAATCTTACAAAATTCTACACAAATATACAAAATCAAACAATAAAAGGATAAGGATTTTCTGGCCCAAGAAATCTTCTGATATGTGATTGAGACTTTACCACACAAATATACAACATTTCCATTTATGAGAGAATTTTAAAGCAATTGTTCTTTGACTTTTTGTATGATAATAAACTAATTGCAAATTGTTTAATTTATCTACTTGTATGTTGTAACATAAAAGGTAGGCGTCGCATATTGAATTAACAATCAATCGGCAACAACCTATTCATCGCTGCCTAGACTCACCTGAACCTCCTTCTACTCTGCACACTATTACTACGTATATGACAAAAAGATCCCTACTTTTTTTCATTTCTCTTTCCTCATGCTAACACTTATCTACCCTTCTCCTCATCTACTCCGTAGCTTGTGTGTATCTTAGGCCCTAATAAACAATTTTAATAAGTAAAGGTCAGTTATAAGTTTAATCAATAAATATAATTTCAAACTTTAGTTTTAGTAAGGATCAAACAGATTGAATAGCGCCTAAATTAACTATGTAGACTTAGACCATGTTTAATTTACCTTATTTTTGCTTATTTGATTTAGTTTCTTCTTGTCTTCTTCTTCTGCTTGAACACCTTAATCCCATAAGTGGGGTCGGCTACATGAACCAACATGAGGACTTCTAGGGAGGTCACCCATCCTAGTACTAATCTCAATCATTGTGGCTCATGTCAAAAAGTTTTACACTGGGTGTCACTGGCCTACCGTAACCCTCCTCCTTTATCCAGGCTTGGGACTGGCAGCGGGAAACCCACGGGCGGAGTTATTTGATTTAGTTTGAACTTATTATTTCTAATTTGATTTGATTTGAACTAATTTTTCCTGATGTGACCAGATCAAATTGTCTTATTTGACTTAATATTGACCTTATACGTACGCTAACCTATAAGGAAAAAATATCAAGTGAAGTCCTGTTAGATTCATAATAATATGTAATTTTTAATTTATTGATATTAAGCGATAAAAAGCCGCACATAAAACCATGGAGTATGTTAGAAATTATTTTTTCTGATTTCATGTGATCAAATCTGATCTGAATAAGTAAAAATAAGGTGAAACTAAACATGGCTTAGTTTTCCTAGTCAAATTTGCTTACTTTCTTATCAAAGTTTCCTATCTTACCATGGTGCTTTTATCCTAAAAACAAAAAAGTAGTCATTTAAAGAATATAGACTATTCCAAACTAGACAATCATGCTACACAAATTCCAATTCAACCTACATACTTTAAGCTAACAAAGTAACAAATGCACAAGAATAAACCTGCCATGATGCATCTTCGCAACAAAGAAAGGATTAAAATTAACCACAAAAATCCTCGCAATCTAGGAATATTAGAGTAATAGCCACTATAGCGCAAATCCTTAAATTCAATCCCACGAGTGTAAAAAGAAAAGCAAAAAGACACAATGAGATTTAAAATGGCAAAGCATCTTGAAGGTAACAATTACAGTACTTTGGGAACCTTATGTTACATCAATTACCGGAAACTCGGCTCATCACACCCTTTATCTAGATTATGGATTGAATAACATTAAAATCAACTTCCTAATTCTAACCGACAAACTTGTCTTACTGTAACTAGGTTGTTAAATTAACAACAAAAACGCAGAAAACAACTCCAAACCATGAAATCACCTACTGTAATATATATAGAATTAATAATACAATTGACTCAAATACAGGGATAAATTCAAATATTAAATCCAATAATTGTATAAAAAGACCAACCAACTCAAATATTAAACTCAACAACATAAAATAAGTGATGCAAACAAATACCAAAGCTATCATATTTAATTCTGATATTACCTCATGCCCAATCATCAAGTAGCTTCCCAATTGAAAATTAGGGTTATCGGGGATAGAAGGGAAAAATCCAAATTGCCCAGCATTTGAAATCAAACCTAAGGATAAACAAATTATAATGAGTATGATATTAATATTCGGAAATTATAGCAATTAGCCAGCCAATGAATCGATAAATATGTTAAAATCATCGCAATTTATGATGATATAATTAAGCAGAATAAATTTTGTAATTTTGAGTAAAGGAAATTGAAGAATTGACCAGCTTCTGAGCAAATAATCGTGAGTGGAATCTGGAGGAAAGAAAAAAAAAAAAAAAGAGGGATAGAGCTTGTTCTTGTTTTCGTCTTTCCATTTTTGGAGAAAATAGGTTTTATCTTTTTGATTCACATACTCCATATTTAATTGTAATTTTTGGTCAAAGAAAAAAAAATGAAATTCTGCAATAATAAAACTGAAAATTTCACAATGATTGAATACTTTATCAATATAAATTATAATTAATTTTTGAAGATTTTAATTTTAAACACCGTAAAAAAAATGTTTTTTAATATAAGAAAAAAAAAATTTAAAAATAAAATATTTTAACACCACAAAAATAGTTCAAAAAATTGATTTACCACCACTTAACCGTTTAAATCCAAAAATCCATTAAGGAGGCGTTTGGTTATGCATCTTTTGGATTGAAAACGGATTCGATTAAACTGATATCATTACCGTGTGTTTGGTTTGAAGGCATGATAACAATTATCATACCTCTCATTTGTTACCTCTCAAAAACTTGGGGTAACAAATACCCTTACCCTCCTCTTAACAAATACTCTTTCCATGGTTAAACCAAACAAATGAAAAGGTAATAGCTAAATGATTCATTTCCCCCCTCTTATTTGTTTCCTTTCCACTCCATTTCCATTTTCCGAACCAAACGCCCCCTAAATAGGGTTCACAGTGTCATGTGAAGCCATATTATAGGTAAAAAAAAATATAAAAAATTAAAAACCTATAACTAACCTAGCCACCCCACCACTGCCACCGGCACCCCTTCCCCACCCCACCCGCGCAACCGGCGCACCCCCTTCCCATCCCAGCCACCGAAACCTGCCCCCCTCCATTTCCTAATCTTAATTCGGCCACAAGTCATTTCCTCCACCCAAAACAACCCCCTTCCCCAATCACTAGTGGTCAATTTTATGGTCGTTTTTTGAGAAAAGTTGTCCCATTTTCTAAAAGATGGAGTACATAATATGCTTTGGTGCTTTTTTAGTTCTATTGTAGTGTACAATATAGGTGCGTAATTAAACACATACGTGTCATCCTCACTCATATGTATAATGCATGTTCCGCTTAGGACTTAAGAGTGTATTGTGATAAAAAAAAAGCCGAAATCACCGTTATAACAGCGTGTTAGTCAGCACATACGTGTCAAATTTAATCATAGGCAAACTATATGCACCTATCTAAAAGTGAACATTGAGGTGTGTTTGTGTGCGGTAGAAAAGTGTGGTAAATTGAAAAATTCTTGCGATTGTAGTTTTTGAGCTTATGGACCGTAAAATCCAAGCATAAACCAAAACTTGTGTTATCATATCGTTTTTGAATTAAATGGAATGAAAACCTTGGGTTGCTCACTACTTCATTTGTCCCATAAAGAAAGTCCCGTCCCTATACTTCGTATTTAATGTATTAAACATTGTATTAAGTAAACTAGATTTGTTTTACTCATATTAATATATGGGGTACATATAATAATACCAAGTAGGGATACATGACGATATGAAAATGAGACACTTTTTGCGAGACAACTCAAAAACAAAATCGGGACAATAAGGGACCGAGGGAGTAACTGTAATTTGACAGGATTTGCAATTCAATAGAGTGTGCAGTTTATGGAGGGAAAAACACAGGTTCTTGCTGAGGTCAATACAAAAACATAAAATATTGAGCTTCTCATCACTGCTCTCAGTCATGATTCCACCTAACACCGTTGCATTGAATAATCTTAATCTACCATTAAACTTCTCTCTCAATTTCATTCGGTCAACCCATCTTTGTTTACTCTTCTCCTGCTTTTCATTCTCTGCGGCATTTCTACAAACACAAAGCAGGCATCTTTGAGAAGAACAAATTTGATCAATCATGTCTGATATTGTTACTGAAGTTTGGAAGAAGTATCTTTTGCAGCTTCAAATCCACCCTCTTAGAACTAAGGTTATTCAAATTGACAATTATTGTTGTAATTTGAATATGGGTTTTATTCTGATTTATTTTTTCTGTTTTTTGATGATGATTTCAGGCAATTACTTCTGGGGTTCTTGCTGGGTGCAGTGATTTTGCTGCCCAGAAAATTTCTGGGATAAAAAAGCTTCAATATAAGAGATTATTCCTTATTATGGTAAGTAATCCTTTTGATTTTTTTTTTTTTTTTATTATAATTTATTTTATTGGTAAGTAAGGAATTCGAACTTGTCGTACACAAGCCCCCAGTCTTTGTCACTAGGCCAATACCAGTTTTGATTGATTGTCTTTGTTATCAAAGATCATGTTTTTGTTACCATTAAATTTACTGATTTTGAATTTGCTGATTATAGATATATGGCTTCTTCTATTCTGGACCATTTGGGCATTTTTTGCACAAAGTTATGGACAAGATTTTTAAAGGAAAGAAAGGTAGCACAACTGTGGGAAAGAAGGTATAAAAATCTATTTGTAATTTTTTCTTGGTTCTGATTTTGATGTTTTGAGGGTTGACTTTTTTCTTTTTACATGCTTTGTTTTTCCTTATTTGTAAGGTGATACTGGAACAATTGACAGCTAGTCCATGGAATAACTTGTTTTTCATGATGTATTATGGTCTTGTGGTTGAAGGTTTGTCATTTTCTTCTCTGATTAAGCATTGCTATTCTCTTGGATTCATCTAGCTCATTATAATGGTTTATCAGAATTATCACTATGCTGTACCATGGTGCAAAATCTTATTGACTTGCCTGTAATGTTTTTGAGTGAGGATTCTTACTGTTTTTATGAGTTAAGGAGTCTAGGTTTGCTTGAATATGTCTTGGTGTCGCTTGAAATTAAATGGCATTCGACTAATACATTTGGTTCCTACTAAAATGAAAGTGTCTAATATTCCTGTCATGCAGAGTAAACATGTAGCCTAATTTCAAGCTATAATCTCTAAACTGATTCCTAAGAATATGCATAGCAATATTCTCTTACTTAAATTAAGTTATATAGCAGGAACTACATTTGACTATACACTTAATCTTACAGACATCTTTGTTGTAGGATTAGCAATTTTTTGTCTTTGAATATCATACCTCAGCTATAGTTTCCCTACTGCATGTAGAGAGGGTAGGTCTTCTATAACAATCAACTGTGTTTTGTAAATCTCTCTTCTTATGGAGAGTATGCACCTGTGGAAGAATGTCCATATAAAGTGTAAGTAGAAAAAGAAATTAAAAGAGAAAGTAAAACCTGAATATGGTTATGGTAGCATGCAATTCATTGAATTATAGTTCCATTTTTAGCTAGAAAACTTTAGCTTTTCAGGAGCTGCAGGGATTGTGTATGCCTTCTCTTTCAAACAAACTTGAGGAAAGAATATGCAGCCTGTACCCAAATAAACTTGAGAAAAACTGTGTTTGTAACTTTGTCGCATTATGTCAATTCTGAGTTGAGTTCACTAAAAACTTACTTCTAACAGGAAGAACGTGGCCACTGGTCAAAAGTAAGATCAAGAATGACTACCCTCCTGTACAGTTAACTTCTTGGAAGGTATTTGATGCTTTTTCATGAGTTATCCTCATGAATTTTAATGTCATATAGCTTTTTAGGGTATCTTCTTAAATACTGATGATATGCTTTTGCATTTGTGATGCTCTGATAAATTCTGGGTCGTTTGCAGTTTTGGCCAATTATAAACTGGGTGAACTATCAATATATGCCTCTGCAACTTCGTGTTCTGTTTCACAGCCTTGTTGCCTCTTGCTGGTTAGTTACTCTTTGATCTTATGGACTTTCTTTTCTTGTTTTTCTCCTTGTTAAAAGCTTCTTACCTTTTTGTTAGAATTCTGCATAAGAGAACCTGTCAAGAAAATTGAGTCCCAAAAGTTGGATGATTGACATATAAACATATAGTCTGTATCGATCTTGTTCTGATTGATTTAGCAAGCAGATTAAGATATCTTAGCAGTAAGCACACTATTCTTTACAACATAAATCCATATAAGAAGTTTAGGGTACATGTTTGATGATGCCTGAAATACTGTATTTTTTGTAAACCAAGGGTTTGTTTGTTATCATTGCAAGTTAAAGGTTTTTATAGATTTGAATTAAAAAGAAGTTTACTTGAAATGATAGTTTCCAATTTTCTATTGTCAATTAGTAAATTAATATGACTGGCTTATGCATGACTAATTTTTGAGTTCATCATGCAACCTATACAGTAGTTTTCTATTTTCAAATTTTGAAGTCCCAAAATCAAAATCTGAAAAACATCAGTATCACTTACTGAACATGCCTTAAAAATTCTCATACAGGATTTTATGAATCCAATTGGAAATTGTTGTTCATGCGTACTATGCATCACATTGTGTTTCTCCTATAATTTGGATGCTCATACCCATTTTTAAAGCTCGATTTCACTCATCAGATAAAAAGGTTCCGCACTTCTAAAATGTACTCCGTACTATATCCATAATTCCACATAGTTTTACTATTTGCTTACTTGCAGGGCAATCTTCCTTAACCTCAAAGCAAGATCTACCGCCATCAAGAAGGCCTAGACAATACACATATCAGCCTCATTACCTTTCGTCCTTTCCTTACAGTCATCTCATCAGTTTCTCAAGTTACAAACCAATCGACGGTAGTAGCTCCGGGTTTAGAAGTTCAGGAATGATTGAAGCTAATATGTAAGGGAATCATTGAATTTAGTTATACTTGTATTATTGGCAATGATTTGTAATTCTATTTTGTTAGCCTGTCTCCAAATAACTACCCTATTCATGTGGGATAAACTTGTGAGCTTTGCAAGACCATGTGGGGACAGGAGTTGATGGGGAGCAAAAAACTACAGTATTTGTATTGAGTAATTTGTAACTACCATACATAAAACAAATTATTCTAAGTTTAGTAATTTTTCTGTCTGATTGAATTCTATTTTTGGCTCAGATTCTCTTTTTTCTTTTTTCTGTTTTCCTGCTGGTAAATTGGGGTAAAAATGTATTCCTGAGAAAACTGAGATCTGTAGCTAAAAATGCACATCTTCAGACTTCAATTGCAATTAAGTGTCTTAACAATTAGGTGAAGTAAAACAAAAATTAAAGAGGGAAGGAAAGAGTGCAACAATTGGGGCATGTTTGCATGTCAAGGAAACTAGTGTGGGAAAATAGGAAATATAATGTAGCAAGTGGAATTTGTGCAAGAAAAAGTAAATATGGTAGCGTTCGTAGCTTGTAAGTGGGGCATGTTGAATGAATGAATAAATATTCTTATCACGGTGAGACTAGTTAAATGCGTTGAGGTATTACTCAGGCTGCATGATAGTTTTAAGTTTT